CTTTAGGCAGCTGTTTTTGCAAATCTTGGCCTGTTTTTCCTTCTTCTGTTTCTGTTCCACCCATGCACAGGGAGAATAAACTAACCTATCTTAGGGATTTGAATAGTCGTTTATAAATTGAAGAGTCAATTCTCTCTCTTCATTCTTCTTAGTGTGTAAGACCATGGAGGTGAAGCCGGGAGACAATCCTTTCCTTTGCATGGACCTCACCTATATCAGTTTGCTACTGCAAGAACTGGGCTTTCCAAAAAGCCAGGTGTTTCAGGTAATACTTCTCAGTGCTGTGTTGAGATGCCTCTCAACTTGCTAGTGATGTACACACACAACAATAGTTTTACTCCTCTCCTTTTTTCTTTCTAGCTTGCCCGAAAAATTGACAATGTCGAAACAAGCTGGGCTTTGGGAGCCACCTTTCACTACCTTGATTCACTTCACAGGCTGCAATATTAAGGCTTCTGGGCCTGAACCCTCAAAAGGATTTTGAGTACTTCAGTCTATGGGTACCCAGCCTAAGGGGACTTACAGGCGACTGATTTTGCTCACTCTTTCTGATAATCAGACCCTTTTAAAAGGTGATCTTAAGTTGGGTACCCAAAATCCCAATTTATGAAAATACAGAGCATGGCAGCTAAAGAATTCGCCATTGATCTTGCAGTGTTTGTAGAAGACTTGATGTTGAAGTAGATCATCTTGGTGAGAATTCTGGGATTCATTAAGGGGCTTTGTTCACAACGCAACTACAAATTCTATGAGAAAAGTACACCTTTGTGGAACATGTCTGTGTCATTTTTGCTTGTAATATGCTGAGGTCAATGTTAGAAATGGCCACTCCAGATGGACCTCTTCTTTTATGGTTCTGATTTATAATGTATTTCTTTGGTAATGGTCTCTGGTGAATTTTTAACTATTGAAATGTTTGAAAATTAATGTATGTAAGTGAAGACAATGGCATTGCCTAGCCAAGCTGCTGGTAAGAGCTGATGTTGGCTTTGGAATGCAGTGTGGGAGACTTGATTCTGCTGGAGTATGGCTAAGCTTTTGGCCCCCTATTCCAGCAGAACTCGGGCGTATTGTGGAGATGACGGGCACACTTAAGGATCTGAGCCACAGCCCATTGCAATCTATGGGAGCTCTTCATTGGCCCTAAAGGCTGAGGTACTTTAGGCACTTGCTGTTGGAGGTGGGGTGGTGGAACTCCATTTCAGTCCTTTAGGGGAGTCCCAGGCAGCATGACTTCACTGGGACTGGAAGGGAGATGGGGCTTTGGAGTTGGTACAGGTCTCCTATAGGGCTGGTAGCCTCCTGCTGCTCCCCTAAGATTTGCAGGGCTTGAGGGGCCAAACCCTTACCACCACTCCCAAGTGGAAGAATTTTGGAGGACACACTGCCAGAACCACCCGCTTCCTCAGGTCCCCTGCTGCTGGATTTCCTGGGCAATTGGTATTCATCACCCTAACATGAAGTGTTAACTAGTAAAACGGGTAGTTCCTAGATTTGTATGTTGGGAGTGCATCAGGGCATGTATTTTAATCTTCAGTGATGGTGAGAAGAATCTGTCATGTGGTTTTGTGGGGGGCAGTACTTACACACGTCCACATATACTTGAAATTTGTTGCTGCTTGAATAGGTGTAGTCGTTAATTAACATAACTTCGTACAGGAAAAATCCTGAGCCTGGTGTATCTCTGGGTTTCAGAGGCGTGGAACCTGAAGAGACTCGCTATTAACCAGTGCTTGGAGTGCCCCTGTCTCCCTCGGATAGATGAATGTATTGTTGCTGCCCTGAGCATGGATTGCAGAAGCCTGAGCTGTGAGGAGGCAGGAGGGACAGCAGAGGTGGTTGGCACTTTGGCTGCAACACTTCTATCGGTGTACTGTATACAGGGGGACGGCTGTTCCTCACACACACACTGCAATAGGGAAACGATGTGTCAGTTATCCATAAGTAGTGGATTACGTCATGTTAATACGTAGTCAGCATAGACACTAGCCGGTTTTTAATATTTTATAAGGGCCTTATCCAAAGCCCCATACAGTCACTAGGAGGTCTGTCCAAGGTCTTTGGGTTAGACCCTAATTGAATAAAGCTCAATCTTCATTGCCTGAGAAGCACAAACTTGGTGTAAAACCCATGTGGGGAAACTCATCAGATTTTTCTAAAATGTTGTTCTGCTTGTCATTGGCGTTTTTGTCTGTAAAGTAGCATGTATGTGACTGTACGATGAATATTTGAAAACTATTTTATTGGCAATAAAATTTTAATTATAAATTGGGATGTTTCCTATTTGGATTAATGCATGGTACTGTGGAGTGATTGTCTCTGTATAACAAGTCATTGCACTGATAATGAAGGTAAGCTGCTATGTGTTAATGGGAAAACACTGCATCTTAGCCTCTCTTCTATTGCAACATGGAAACTTCTGAATACATACCAAGGTCCTGGGATGAAAGTTGCTACATAAGTGTAAGATACAGTAATGGTATTTCCAGCTCTTTGTTTTGACCAGGATCATACTGATGGGCTTACCTTAAGAAGGGTTGGGCTTGGCTTCATTGCCATAAGTCATCTACTAACTGTCAAGGCTTAGGAAGACCATTTCCCTGTGGGTTATGATGTGCGTCTACTGGAGCGTCTTTCATCTTTCTCTGAAGCAACTGATGCTAGACACTGTCATAGAGGACACTGAACTAGATGGATCCCACTCTGGCAATTCCTTTGCCTTTAATATTATAGGGGCTGGTAGCAGTGTCTATTAATAAAGGTTGCCCAACACTTCCAATTTTAAGACCATGTATTTGATTGCTAATTACTTTGCCAAACTTTAACTATTTGGGCTGAAATTTTCCATGCTGCTTGTCTGTCTGAAACTGAATTATGTATTTATAGTTTTAATTTCAGCCAAACTATTCCATGGTTTCTGAGAACAAGGTTAGGGGAAAACGTTTTGCAACTTAAAAAAACCAAACCCTGGTGACCTTTTCTTTCAGAATCTCCAGCAATCCCATGCTTTCGGACAAGGACTTGACATAGGGCAGGGAGGGGCCTTTATTTCAGGGTTGTGCCTTTTTGCCATCCCTATGAAGAACTGCTCAGATTTGGCCAATTTACAGACTTCTGAAAAATCTCCATTTGTATCTGCTCAGTAGAGACATCTTAGATTTTAGCAGCTAGAAGTCTCCAAAGCTTCCATCCTCACTGAGCATGCTCCATCCCTTCACGGCTCCTAGTGTTAACCACACTGCGTATGCACCATTTCCACAGACAACTGGCCATGCTTCGTCTCCTCGTTACTCTTAGCCATGGCTGGACTGCCTGTGTGCCATCCCCACAGAGCAACTGAGTGTTCTCCCTCCAGCCCAGGCTGCTAGGTCAAAACTGGGCTTTCCCTGTAATTCCTGCTGCCAGCTGCTTTGAACTGGGGCCCGGCACCAGAAATAAGAGCAGGGAGCCTCTCTAATGCTCTGTGATCCCTCTCCTCTGCTGGCAGCCAGGCACCAGGGAGGAGGAAGTCAGAGAGGGACAAGGGCTGGACCAGGGGCTGGGGAGAGGGAAAGGAGTAGAGTGGGACTGGAGGATGGTGGGGCTTGAGAAAGACACACTCCCACTTGGTTGGGGAAGGCAGCTGGGCCTAGGAGCTGGTGGGAGGGGAGGCTGGGACTGGCTGGTCAAGGAGACTGGGAGCTAGTGAGGGAAAGCGGGGGGGGCTATGCCCTTCTGAAATAGCTGCTCTTGCGGCTACTCCAGCCTGGCCTGACGCACCCTCTGCGCCAGGGTTGAGGAATAAGGAAGCCCGGGGTGCGGGGAAAGGCCGACGAGCTTGCGGCCCCTTTCTATCCAAATAGCGCCGCACCTCGCAGGCTGTGTTTTCTAGGGCTAGGGCGGGTGGGTGCCCAGCTTGAGACACCCTGCTCGCGGGGGGGGGGGAAGGGCTCTGCCTCGAGCTGGGGGTGTCAGGCACCCTGCTCGCGGGGGGGGGCTCTGCCTCGAGCTGGGGGTGTCAGGCACCCTGCTCGCGGGGGGGGGGGCTCTGCCTCGAGCTGGGGGTGTCAGGCACCCTGCTCGCGGGGGGGGGGGCTCTGCCTCGAGCTGGGGGTGTCAGGCACCCTGCTCGCGGGGGGGGGGCTCTGCCTCGAGCTGGGGGTGTCAGGCACCCTGCTCACGGGGGGGGGGGCTCTGCCTCGAGCTGGGGGTGTCAGGCACCCTGCTCGCGGGGGGGGGGGCTCTGCCTCGAGCTGGGGGTGTCAGGCACCCTGTTCGCGGGGGGGGGCTCTGCCTAGAGCTGGGGGTGTCAGGCACCCTGCTCGCGGGGGGGGCTCTGCCTCGAGCTGGGGGTGTCAGGCACCCTGCTCGCGGGGGGCGGCTCTGCCTCGAGCTGGTGGGTGTGGGGGGCCCCGCTCGCTGGGGGCCCCGCCTCGGGCTGGAGGATGCTGGGGGGAGGCGCTTGCTGGGGGGGGGCTGCCTTTGGGTGGTGCGCGCCGGGGACCAGCCCTTAAACCCCGTGCGGGCCTGGCGAGCTCGGATTTTGGTGCCGGGGGGAGCCCGCGTGGGGGGCGCAGGCGGGTCCGGGCCGGAGCTGCAGGCCCCGGCGAGGGGGAGCCGGGGGCGGAGCGCGGCGCCTGCGAGCCGCGCTGGGCTCGCCGGGCTCGCGGCCAGGCTGCAGAGCTCCCCCCACCCCCGGCTTGGCGGGCGCGCAGGCGCCGCGATCCCCACTGCAGCAGCCGGCGCCGGCCGAGCTCCGCGCAGCCCCGAGCGAGCCCCGGCCCCGCAGCCTCCGGCCCGAGCGAGCCCCGCAGCCCCCGGCCCCGCAGCCTCCGGCCCGAGCGAGCCCCGCAGCCCCGAGCGAGCCCCAGCCCCGCAGCCCCCGGCCCGAGCGAGCCCCGCAGCCCCCGGCCCCGAGCGAGCCCCGGCCCCGCAGCCTCCGGCCCGAGCGAGCCCAGCAGCCCCGAGCGAGCCCCCGGCCCCGCAGCCCCGAGCGAGCCCCCGGCCCCGCAGCCTCCGGCCCGAGCGAGCCCCCGGCCCCGCAGTCTCCGGCCCCGCAGCCCCGAGCGGGCCCCGCAGCCTCCAGCCCCGCAGCCCCGAGCGAGCCCCCGGCCCCGCAGCCTCCGGCCCCGCAGCCCCGAGCGAGCCCCCGGCCCCGCAGCCTCCGGCCCGAGCGAGCCCCGGCCCCGCAGCCCCGAACGAGCCCCGCAGCCTCCGGCCCCGGCCATGGCGGCGCCCCGCAGCGACAGCGAGAAGAGGAAGCAGATCAGCGTGCGGGGCATCGCGGGGCTGGGCGACGTGGCCGAGGTGCGGAAAAGCTTCAACCGGCATCTGCACTTCACGCTGGTCAAGGACCGCAACGTGGCCACCCCCCGCGACTACTTCTTCGCCCTGGCGCACGCGGTGCGGGACCAGCTGGTGGGGCGCTGGATCCGCACCCAGCAACGCTACTACGAGCGCGACCCCAAGGTAGGGCCCCCCGGGGGGCTGGCGGGGGGCCCGGAGCTGGGGGACGGGGCTACAAGAGCGGGCGGTGCGGTCACCCCGCCTGAGCCCGGCGTCCTCCCGCCCCGCTCCCGGCCGGGTTCAAAGCGCCCGTCCCGCCCTGCAGCTCCGCCCGCAGCCGGTAGGGCTCCGTGCGGGCTCCGTGCGGGGCGGGGGCTGCCCCGGGATCCAGTGGCCGGAGCGGGGGTGTCCTGCCGTCAGGGAGCTGGGCACCCCGCCCTCAGTCCGGCGGGACGCTGGCGTGAGCCGCAGTTGGGGTTTGCAGCGCTTAGGCTCCTGGCAGAGGTTTCTGAAGCCCGGGCAGGGCAAACCTGCGACTTCCCAGCGGGTCCAGCATCCCTGAAGTCAAGGTGACGGGTGGTGGCCGAAGGGCTGCGTGTTCCTGGCAGGTCTGGGGGTCGCTACTGCGGTAAGGAAGCAATCTGCTGGGAAAGGGAGTGACCGCAACTGGGAGGGAAGCAGAAGGTGGCATGGGAGGAAGGCGGTGTCCTAGAATTGTTCCTCAAAAGAGCTGTCGGCTCATCTAGTCCAGCCCTTCTCAAACTTTAGCAACCCGAGGACCCCCATTTTGATTGTAAACATTTTGGGGGTCTCCAAGCCCCCCTGCTCATCCCCAGGCCTCACCCCGACTCCATTCCCCCTCCCTCTGTCACTGGCTCTCTCCCATCCTCACTCATTTTCACCAGGCTGGGGCAGGGGGTTGGGGTGCGGGAGGGGGTGCGGGGTCGGGCTCTGGCAGGGAGTTCGGGTGCGGGAGGGGGTGCGGAGTGCAGGCTCTGGGAGGGAGTTTGGGTGCGGGCTCTGGGGTGGGGCAGGGGGTTGGCTGAAGGGACATGCTGGCCGCTTCCGGGATCGGCACAGAGCCAAGGCAGGTAGGGAGCCTGCCTTAGCCCCATTCCACTGCCGGACTTTTAGCGCCTAAAATCTCCTGGTTTGGCTTCAGTAGCCTCCAGGAGATAAGGGGAGGGGGAGGAGTTGATCAGTGGGGCCTGCGGACCCCCTGGAATACCCTCAGGGACCACCAAGGGTCCTCGGGCCCCAGTTTGAGAAATGCTGATCTAGTCTATCCCCTTGTCAGAGGAGGGTTGTTCCGTGTGTGACTTTAAATGTGCCAAGTCATGAGGCTGTCCTAGATTCACAGGTCTCATCTGATCCATATAACAGGCCAGAGAATTTCACCCAGTTCAGCAGGTTGCCTCCTGCATCCTTGCAGGGGGGACCAATGCTTGTGTAGTTCTTTTGGGGAACAGGGAAGAGAGAGCGGTACAAGGATGCAGCTGTGACTACTACTTGCCGACACATCACAGCAGAACAGCTGTGTTACAAAAATCAGGAAATGTAAAACTTGTCAGCTCAAATCCTCAGCGCGGATTAAAGGCCAGTGCTTCTGTTGATCTCGGGGAGCTCCGAAAGGCTTCCATAGGCCAGGCAGGCTCTAGAAGAGTTTGCCAGAATAACTATACCTGCAAAGCCTGCTACCGTAAACGCAGTTTATGCTGTCAGAAAAGTTCCTTTTCTGTTATCTCCTGGACCGGTTCGGCGAGTGAAAGAAGACATGTTGCCGAGAGCATTGTTATGCTGCTATTACTGTGGCTACTTTAGAGATTTTGCCGGGATAGAAATGTGACACCCTCCTCTCCTCCCCCCAACAAGTCATACTTTAACCACTGCCTTTGCTATGCCCACAAAGGTCTTTCATATAGACGTCGCTATAGACGTCAGTGGGCGTTGGACCAGGGACTGTCGCAGGACCCTGTGTTTGTTTCATTTATAATATGCGCCCAATAGAGATTTAGATGAAGAGAACATTCCATGTTTTCTGTCTTAAAGTACCTTTTCTGCCCCTAATACAGAAGAGCAAATATGCACCATCCTTCCTCCTAATCCAGGAAGATACAAGGAAGGAGAGAGTGTTTTGCAGGCGATGGATCACATCACTTGGCACACTCAAAAACTAGGCTGGACAGAGGCTCGCTAGGAGGCATACAGGGAAAAGTGTCTGAAGAAAGATTTAAAACATCGCACTCATATTTACTCTCAGCTTAGTAAAATCAAGGCATGCAGTGATATGGGAAGCTGCAGAAGACTATTAAAATTGAGAACATTAAAGAACTCTTCTCTGTGCCTTTTGACACTTTTAATTCCGCTCAGCTTGGCCAATGGAAATGGGCGACTCTGTTTCACTTCTTCTACTAGACAGTTTCTAATCGATTTCACTGTCAAGTTCTCATACTAACCGAGTGCTGTAATGTTTGAGATGCCAAAAGTGCAGAGAAATAGGTATCTATTTAAAAGAAAATTGTTTCTATTGTAATGAACAAAAATTAATGGAAACGTGTCTAAAGTTTTGTAAGCTTTTACGGAACCTCAAATTTAAGTCAAATTTGCCTTGAACAGTGTCGGTTTAACATAGGAATTTGAGGCCAGATTCTCAGCTGCTGTGCACAAGCTGAGAATGTGAACCTTGATTCATACATCCTGGTTTTCTTGCAGGACAGTTTCCTAGTGCTGTAAAAGGAATGGTTTGGTTCTGTGTGGCCCACTTCTTCTTACTGTTTGAGTCACTCACATCCTGATATGAATCCTACAAATGGGCTTTATTTAGCATGCATCACACTTCAAAATATGGCTCTTTTAAAACTAGGATGGTCTCCCCAAACAAGAGTTCCTCCTTAGGCATATTATACTTGCTGGGAAGAATATAACAGCAACCCCAGGGGTGTGTACCAGTTGCTTATTTTAAAGGAATGAAACGTATTAAAGTCAGAGTGGGAGGGAACTAACCAATGTTATTGCTTATCCTACTTCCTTAACTTAGTGTTTTCTAGGGAAGAAATGAACCATAGGACAGATGCTGATCAAATATTTGTCCAGTGAGAAAATGGGCTTGGATAAAGCCATTTGCTACAGCCAGACTCACGGAGCTGAGGGGAATGTCTCCCCACATAACTTTTTGTTACCGTGTTTATGTCCCTATCAGATATTAGTTAATATTGTTGCACTGTGCGGATCAGACAAGTGGGGCTGTTTAACCCATAAATCCCCATGGCTCTTGTATGCTTGCAGTGATGGTGTAGAAAGACAAGTGATACTTAAAATAATGCCACAGTCTCAAAATTAAGGGTGGTTTGAAGTACCAACTGGATCAATAATTCAAGTTTCCTGTTCACTGTGTGAAATGGATTTCTGAAACAGAACAGTTGGGTGGATCTGTTTAGGATGGAATTCACCCCATGGCCTTCTGTAACCAAAACCCCCCGTCAATAACACTTGACTCTCCCTGATTTCCAGCCATGACATTTTCCCAGCCCTAATCTGCCTCAGCAAGCCAAGTCTCCTGGAAGATGGGATTCATTTAAAATTCCAGCCCTCCATAAGAGCCCCAGAGGGATGTGCGTTGCTGAAAATGGTTGTGGAAAGTTGAGTCCGTATTTACTGAGCGATACCCAGTCACGGCACTTTCCTTTTGTTCCCAGAATCTCATAGTGGGTGATCAGCGTGGCACTGGTTCGTTTCCACGCTTCTCAGCAGGGGTGACCGTCATACTAGGAAATAGTGCATGGCATAGGGCCTGATCCAAAGCCTGTTGAAGACTCCCATTGACTTTGGATCCAGCCCACGTTGATGAATACAATTAGGAATCTTATGCGACAGGGCCTGGGCGTGGCATTTCAGCTGCGAAAAGGCAGCACTGTACTGTGAAGAACTGGTGTGTAAATACGCCGCCAGGCCTCCCCGATCACTTGCGTTCTAAGTTAACTGGGGAAACAATCTTATCAGAAAATGACAGCTGCTGTAGGAAAGTCACGCTCTGGGCCGAGATAGGCACAGGGGCGCTCCGCTGACAAGTTCCTCACAAGAATCTCTCTGGCAAACAAAACGTGATCCATGTTACGCAACAGGTGGCCGGGCCACAATTCATGAAAGCCTCCCTGTCGCGTCGCTTGAACTGATTTCAAGGGGTTAACAAGCGCGTGTTCACTAGAGCCAGGCAGGAGTTTTTGGATGGAACTCTTTGGTCAGAAAATGTCAATCCAATGAAAGTGAAACTTTCTGCGGGAATGTGCCAGTTTCAATCCAATTTTTGGGAAAGATTTCTTAGACCGAGGATGGAATTCCCGATCAAAACTGGAGAGAGAGAGACCCACCCTAGAATCGCCAATAGCCTAGTGGTCAGTGCACTTGGACTGGAACCCAGGTTCAAGGCTGGGCTTGCCTGGTTCAGACCAGGGACGTGAACGTGAGCCTCCCACATCCCAGGGGCATGCTTGCTCTCTCTCAAAAAAACCTTCCAAGGGTCTTGTTTTGTCCCAGTGCGGAAAAGGGAAAACAATTCCTTCCCCAGCTCTAGTGCTGTCCTGAAGCGAGGCAAGTTGAGAATCGCTTCTGAGCGCAGAGAGACCTAACGTGAACCTTCTTTACAATGAAGTGTATTGTGTTAGGAGGGACTGCTTGGTGGCTGCATGCCTCCTTTTGGGGAGGAACATATGGGGGACATTGCTGGTAGGACGTACTTCAGAAACTGTTCTTCAAAAGGCAAAGCAAGCCACACAGGAACATGACATGGGGCACGTATGCAGTGTGGGAGTCATGGGTGCTCTCACACCAATAACTAATAAAATTAATGATATCTTTATAGCTTTTCCAGCCTGCTCTAAAACAGCCTGCACTTAATGGCTGACCAGGGACTGGCTTTATTAACAAGGAAATAAGAACAAAGATCACGCAAAATTCAGGGCAGATCTTCTTCCCAGGCTTGGCTGCTCCTAGGGCGAGATGAGGTCGTGTCACTTAACTCCACTCCTGAGTGTCACTCCCACCTCTCTCATATCTGAGTAGGATAATGAGCCTGAGTCAGCAGAACCCACTTAACATTCCCCAGCGGGATCAACATCTGCTAACAAGGGGGGGCGGGGGAGGGTGTTTTCTGGCAAAGGATACTACCCTGCTGCTGTTGGGTATAGGGGAGGATACAGTCCCTCCATGTGAAATACAAACCCCACTCTTTAGACCTGAGGGGCAAGAACGGGGGGAGGGTTCCCATTCCCGGGGTCTGGTGGAGTGTGTCCCTCTCTGCACATTGCTCAGACATCCTTGTGAGGAAGGATCAGTACTTGGCTCAAAGACAGAATAGCTACTGAGAGAGAAAGCATGGATTCAGAAACAGAAAGATTCACAGATTCCAAGGCCAGAAGGGACTATCGTGACCATCTAGCCTGACCTCCTGTCTAACACAGGCCAGAGAACATCCCCAGAGCAATTCCTAGAGCAGAGCTTTTTGAAAAACATCCAATCTGGATTTAAAAATTGCCAGAGTTGGAAACTCCATCACAGCCCTTTGTAACTTGTTCCAGTGCTAATTGTCCTCACTGTTCACATGTCCTGGAACAAGAGGCAGTATGTCTCTCAACGGACCTGATTGCATTTTTGCAGTCTTAATTGTGCATTAGCATTAGTTTTTCTTCATAGAATATGTGTAAATTTCACCTTCATATTCAGCCCCCTTTGTGTTGCAAAGTCTCAGCCTGGGAAGTAAAATTAATTTTCTTCCTTCTGTCCTTTTGATGTATTCCACCAGCGTATTTATTACCTGTCTCTGGAATTCTACATGGGCCGCACCCTGCAGAATACAATGGTGAACCTGGGTATGCAGAATGTCTGTGATGAAGCCATTTACCAGGTAAATTTCTCTGGCAAGTCCTGGTTAGAGTTGGGCAAAACTTTTTTGCCAAAATTTGTTTAGAAAGAAAATTGATTTTGACAAAACTAATTTTTTTAAGCCATGTCTGCTTTCTGTGGAAATTTTTGATTTTTTTCATCAAAAAGCCAAACTCCTGTAAATGAAAGTATTTCCTTCTGGGAGTTGTAGTTCGGTTTTCTCATGTCCCCATTCTCCTCTGTGGGCTTTGCTCCCCACCCAGACACATTTCCCAAAATGCACTATAGCTAAGGATTACCATGATGCAACTGCCTCCTATCACCCGTGGGAGAGATCACGGTGCATAATGGGAAATGTAGTCTGACCAGGGAGCCGAGCCTAGGAGACGAATGGGAACATGAGAGGCTTTTCCCACAACTCCCATGAGGCACCACTGCGGCATTTCCTAGTAGAAATATTTCAGGTTTTGGTTTAAAAAGAAAAAAGCTTTGTTTGTCACTGAAAAGTCAGTTTTCTGTAGAAAATGCAACAAAAAGTACGTGTGTTTTCATTTTTGTCAACGTTTCCCCAGAAAAAAGCCCACTTTCCAACCAGCTCCCTTCCCCATTTTCTCCTAGCATCAGTTGGGACTCACAGGGTCTGAGGAAGCCGTGACTGAAGACAGTGGCACAACACCCATCCATTTCAGGGATGCAGCTGGCTAATGGTTCGGGGCTTGATCTTGCAAGGCATTGAGCACTTTGCATGCGACAGGGTGAAATGTTTAGACGTGCTTCATTACAAGCATGCTCGTTTAGTCCGACGTAGAGCTGGTCAAAGCAGTGAAATGTGAATGACAATTTTCATGATTTTTTTTTTAATTGATTTTTCAAAAGTTGGTCAAATCTTTTCAGTTTTCAACCAGCTCTATAACTTGTCAGAAAAATGAAAATCTTCTCATTAAAATGTCCATACTTTTGAGGGTGGAGGGGAAGTTGGTTAAAGGTTGATATTCTGATGAAAAAATTAGCTAAAAAATTGGAAACAGAAATATTTCAGTGAAGGCCAGTGCAGTCAATGGGACACCACAACAAAACGTTATTCACGCGAATGCAGCTCGGAAGATCAGGGCCTGTTGTGGCAAGTGTAGCATGATGCGGTTTCTGTGGTAAAATCTTCTCCTACGAACTCATAGTTTTTGTCACCCTGGCCTGAAAACCAGGCCTCTTCAAGGTGTTGCCTTCACCCAGGCCTGCTGCCTGGGAGCTCACAAAAGTCAGTCTCTGAACCCAGGCTGCCCGTACGTCCTGCAGTAGGCCTGGCTCCGAATCCCATGCTCCCATCACATGACCCTTGGACTCACTCCCTTCACCTGGGGAGGTTCTAGGATTGCCAACCCTCCAGGATTGTCCTGGAGTCCCCAGGAATTAAAGATTAACCTTTTAATTAAAGATTATGCCATGTGATGAAACCTTGAGGAATACGTCCAATCAGAATTGGTAACCCTAGCTACACCTGGCACAGGTGAGGCGGAGCCCCAGCATTCTTAAAGGGCCAGCTTGCCCTGTGACAATCCCATTCAAAAGCTTTCTGTCCCTTACACTGATGTACTAGGCCAGTATAAAAGTATCGTTCCTGTTTAAATGTCCTGCTTCAGGGCTTTTGCCTGGGACTGTGCACCAGTTACTATCTAGGTCACTCTGAAGAGTCTGTCTAAAGCCAAAACATCCACCACCCAACGGGGGCTCTTGTATGCATGAAGCCATTGATCAGAGGGAGCTGAGGCCTCTCGTTTACACCAGTGTAATTCCATTGGCCTCAGTGTATTTACCTGTACTTTACACCAGTGTGAGTGAGAGGAGACTCAGGCCCAAGGTTTGAGGCCCCACTGGGAGGCTTTCTCCTGAGTTCGGTGGGTGTTGGAGCTGGCCTGCAGAGCCCAGACACTTCTGCAGCCTGCTCCGGGGCGGTAGCCCCAGACCCTCCGTTTAGCTGCCACTGATTTCAGTGTTCGTTCGGAGCCTGAATACCTCTGGGAATCTGGGCGGTAGAGCCTACACGTTGTGGTAGCTTGTTACGAAGTGTTTGTGATCCGGGCGTGGTGCGGCCCTGTGCAAAGCATGGCCTCCTTGGGACTGGAAGCATCGTAAGAGAAGAAAAATGGAGCAGCCCCTCCTCTCACCCGCTCCCACAGTTATGCAGTGCTTCTGTAACAGACTCGCTTTCCATTTGAAGACTGACTGCTTTACACAGACCCCTGACAGGGAGGGTGTCGGTTTACTGAGTCCTGCCCCAGTGCAGGGGGCTGGACGAGATGGGCTCTTCCAGCCCCACGCTTCTATGAGTCTGTCATTCCTGTGTCCTGAATCCCTGCCCAGCTCCAGTCAGGCTCCCACCAGGTTGCCTCTGCCAGAAGAGAACTTGTGTGGAGGGGGAACTGGGCAGGAATCTGTCAAAACACAGGGGCAGGCAGGGAAATGCAAACCCAGGTGGCTCGTCATTGTTCTGTATCCTGTCATGGACCAGGGCAGCGCGTGACCCTGCCCTCCAGAGCTTACAGCCTAAGCAGACAGAACAAATGGAGAATCAGGAATGGGGATGTAACCTACACATGTGGTCCGTGTCTTATCAGCATCAGTGCGCTCACTCTCTCTCTTTAATTCCTCCCCCTTTTGCCATCGGTAACCAAAGCAAACGGCTTGCGCAAAGCTAATTAATTTTACAGCATCCTGAAGTGTCCATCTAATCTACCCACGTTTGGTCTAATGTTATTACTCCCTTGAAAGTGCCGTGACTCATGAAAGCCAGTTACTTTGGCAGAGGCCCCAGTATCCCTCTGTCCTTGAAGCAATTCTAATAGCTTGAAATGTATATGTGTATCATCCAGCTTGTTAAAGATTCAAGAGGCTGGGCTTGGCTTGGGCATATTTTTGTTTCAGAGTTTGTTGATCATAACAAAGCTTTTGTCGTGGAAACCGGTTGCTGCAGGATCCGTCTGCAGTGTGCGATGCACAGGCGGCCGGTAACACAATACATTGCAATGGGAGTCGGGTCCGTGAGGAATAAACTTGAAACCTCTTCATACTGTAGCATCCTCTGTGAGTAATAGGGGACTTAAGCCCCGATCCTGCACATGGCCCTGCACTTGCCCTGAGCCCCACTGGGGCTCTGCCCACACAGAGGTCGTTCCAGGGTCAGGGCCTTATCACATAGGCCTTCAGTCTCCTTTTGCTACCTGGCCTTTGCTCACAACTGCGGCTCAGTAAAGCCACCTGGAAATTAAACCCAACCAGCCGAGGTAGGGTGACTTGGAGAGATGTTGAACAATCCATCTCTGGGCCGAAGGAGAAGACAGTTAGACCGCATCTACACACACAAGTTGCACTGCTGTAACTATTCCGATATGACTGTACCTGAACAATCCCTCTTGTGTGGACGCCGTTATACTGGTATAAATGTGCTTCTAGGGGTTAGCTGCATGCCTTTGTGGGGCGTAGTGGTGTCCACACTAGGGGTTGTATTGGCATAATTATATTGGTAAAAGAAAATAAATCGCACCCAAAATTACCTACTTGGACTTGTCCAAAAACCACATGTTGGTAAGTGTCTCTGACCAATGCTAAAGTTCTCCATTGCTGTCACTCACCATAAATGGTGGGTGACGGCATAATAGTGGGCATAATAGTGCAGAGGCTGAATGTTTGTTAATACTTGGCATTTTACTATTTAAAGCAATCTACTGACAATTGCTAATTAACACACATAATGCTCCCCTAAGGGAAGTATTATCATCCTCTTCTAACAGATGGGAAACTGAGGCATGGGGAGTTGGAGTGACTTGCCCAAGGTCTGTGATGGAGCTGGGAAAAGATCCCAGGTCCCCTGAGTCCTAGCCTAGCAGTCTAACCACTTCCTCCCTGGTAAGGGCTCTGAGATCCTTAGCTGACAAGTAGTTCATTATATCCGTGAGCTATTTCTGTATTTAAACGGTAACTTAGTGGTGCTCCCTGTTTAGAAATAAAAAAACAAATTCTGGGCTAAATAAAGTGCAAGACTCGGGAACTGCTACGTGGAGTTGCTGTTACATCGGTAATAGGAAAGGCAGACAGGGTTTTGTGGAGAAATGTGTAATTAAGTAGTTTTTCCCTCCCATCCGCACCATTCACATCCCTTTAGAGGAAGAAAAGCCTTTTAGGTCAACCAAGGGATTGTCAACACACTCCGGTTGTGCTGCTTTAACAATGCTGGTGTAGCTAACATGGTGTCAGTTCCCTAGTGTGGACACAGACTTTATACCGGTATAAAAGTGCTTTAGAGCAGTGCAGCTATCCCGGTACGGGAAGGGGAATAAGCTAAACCAGTGTAAGGCACCTTTGTGCCAGTATAACTGCCTCCACGCACGGGATTATTTTGGTAAAATAATCACACCCAGAACTGCTCCTCCGTACTTGGACAGCAAACATGGCAGCCTCAGCTTCTGATCCCACTCTGCTCTTGGTAACCAGCTATCCTCAGATGTAAAGTGAATTTAAAGTGGAATTAGAAGAGATGATGGAAAACCAGGATTTCTGTCCTGCAGGAAATTCCCAATAGTTCAACATTTGTTTTCATCCCGATTTGAAATATTGAAACTTCTGATGGAATAGAAAGTTCTGGAAAAATCTCAATTCAGAAACAAAGTGCTTTGTTTCAGGTCCACGTTAATCTCTGCATCCCCCTGAGCCTGCTCTGTTGCCTCCTAGGAGTTGTAGTTCTGAGTCCTTTTTGCTCCCAGTCTCTCTTGTGGGCCTTGCTCCCCCATTGGACTACATCTCCCATGATGCACTCTGGCAGATGCAGAGATTAATGCAGATCTGAAATGGAGCAGTTTGTTTCCATTTTTCCCAATGGAAAATTCTGCCGAAATTGATCTTTTCCCACCGAAAATTTCAATGTTGACAAAACCCCATTTTCCAGTGGGAAAAGGTTATCTTTGAAATTTTCAGCCAGCCCTAGGCATTAGTTTTGGTGATGGGAGTGGAGGCTTGGCCTTCCTGAGTGGCTGTGGAGATGGTGGGGGAAGGAGAGACTGTTGCTGGGGGGAGGTCAGGGGACAGGTTTTGGAAGGTCAGAAGCTGAAGCAGCCTTTGTTGCTGGGAAGTTCTGAGCCAGAACACTGGGGGACATTTCAGCATAGCAGGAATAACTTGCAAGGTCAACCCGTGAACTTGGCATTAACCATATTCTGGGATAAGAAACCCCTGGGCCCCAGAATCCTTCGAGGCTCAAGGTACAGTTATTAACCCTGGAAAGAAGGCGCATCCTCAAATCGTTAGGCAAATAAACCAGCAGTGATGATTTGTACTGTGACTGGCTGATTGCCATCCCTTCCCAGATTAGAGGTCTTTATACTTTTGAGGGTTGCCAGCCAAGAAGCGTTTGGTGTTTGATGTAGCTAAGGAAACCTGCAGATCCTAATAAAAACGACGTTGGCAGTGGGATAGGGTCATTTGTCCGAGGAATTAGATTGCTGTGGGAGCGGGGGGGAGCCTGGGTGTGTTTCTCTCCTTCGGAGGGCTGCAGGGAAACATGCCTCAGGGCTCTGTGGGGGTGATGCCCTGGTGCTGAAGTTGCCGCTTTCTCAACAGCTGGGTCTGGACTTGGAGGAGCTGGAAGAGATTGAAGAAGATGCTGGCCTGGGTAATGGAGGGCTGGGTCGCCTGGCAGGTAATGCCCCTGTTCTTTGTATTCCCAGTGATACCCTTGGCAAGGCTTGGCTGCTTGGCAGTGCTGGCCCCTGTGCTCCTTAATTAGCCCCCCTCTACAAAGGGCAATTAACTTCCTCTGATGACTGTGGCCATGCATGGTTTAGGCACAGCTGACCAAGCTGGCTGCTAACACGTCTGGGCTAGCACTGGAGGAGGCCCAAGGCCTTGGCTACAGTAGCCTTTTCCCCCCTAAAATTTGTCACCTTTGCTAACACGGGTGCAGCTCTAGTGTAGACAAGGTGCCAGCATCTGCCGTCATTTTAGCTAGTGTGTCATCTCGGCCTGCTGCAGCGAGGTTACGTGACGTGCTGGTTGACATGCTAGGGGTCAGTCTACCTTGCGTTGCTGCTCATAGACTTTGAGATCGGGACATTATGATCGTCTAATCCAGTGGTTCCCAAACTCGTTCTGCCGCTTGCGCAGGGAAAGCCCCTGGCGGGCCGGGCCAGGCCGGTTTGTTTACCTGCCGCGACCACAGGTTTGGCCGATCGCGGCTCCCAGTGGCCGTGGTTCGCTGCTCCAGGCCAATGGGAGCTGCTGGAAGTGGCGGCCAGTACGTCCCTCAGCCCGTGCCGGTTCCAGCAGCTCCCATTGGCCTGGAGCAGCGAACCGCAGCCACTGGGAGCCGCGATCGGCCAAACCTCCGGACGCGGCAGGTAAACAAACCGGCCCGGCCCGCCAGGGGCTTTCCCGAACAAGCGGCGGAACGAGTGTGGGAACCACTGGTCTAGTCTGACCTGCTGCACAATGCAGGCCACAGAATCTCACCCACCCACTCCTGAGACAAACCCCTAACCTATGTCTGAGCTATTGAAGTCCTCAACTCGTGGTTTAAAGATTTCAAGGCTCTGAGAATCCTCCAGCAAGTGACCTGTGCCCCATGCTGCAGAGGAAGGCGAAAAACCCTCAGGGCCTCTGCCAATCTGCCCTGGAGGGAAATTCCTTCCTGACCCCAAATATGGCGATCAGCTAAACCCTGAGCATATGGGCAAGACTCACCAGCCAGACACCCAGGAAAGAGTTCTCTGTAGTAACTCAGATCCCACCCTATCCAGTGTCCCATCACAGGCCATTGGGCATATTTACCGCTAATAGTCAAAGAGCAGCCGTGGGAAGATGAAAGCCCTGCTTTAGCTCAGGTAGAGCCCGGGACAAAGACTTGGTTTTAACTGGTTTATAAAACAGCTTGACCCCTGCCAGGCCGTGCTGGGTCCATTTTGGCCACAGCTGTGCTGAACTCACATTGAGATAGGGCTGTTGAACTGTTCTTTGCCCCGGGACCATCCCCATCACTGTTCAGCACCCTGTAGCCCTGTGTCAAGACCAGATCTCACTGCTCCCGTCCAGCTTAGGGCTGGTTGTTAGCCACGGAGTCCTGACACGCACTTACTAGTGCTGTGGACACTAGTAAAAATCACACTTGGCGTCACTTTATAAACAATAGCTAGCAAGCCCTAGCGTGCCCCGGGAAGGCACAGCTGGAATCAGTATCCCCTTTCTGCATCATGCCCAAGGCTCAGGTCACTGCCCCCACCGGGAGCATGGGAAAATGCCCCCAGCTCCTACTCTAGCTTCCAGTTCCACCTCCCTGCGTCCCCTTGGAAGACGACAGCAGAGCTCAGATAGCCTCTAGCATACATCTTTCTGATGAGACGCAGGAGGGGAAGCTGGGGCCCAGCCAGACTTGCCTACAGGTGTTTGGCAAAGAACCAAAGAAACAATAGTGCATGGGTGGCATAAAAATACAAAGTGGGTGCTCCTGAAACAGCTCCCCCAAATCCATCAATCCCACCCCCTACCAGGTGCACATGTTTGTACAAACACCCCATCCATTCTCCCAACAAATCCATCCGTTCCCTCCCTCCACATAAGCTCCTTGGAGAACGGATCAATCTCGGCCCCCCTGCCCTCACCAATGGAGCCCAACAGGGGTCAGATTCTGCCCCTTCCTCTCCCTCCCGCCCCCCGAGTGCCACCATGCTCTCTGAGGTCAGGGCAGCTACTCCTGGGGACTGGGGCACAGCCTAATCCAAAGTCGGGTAGAAATTCCCAACACCCCCCTTGGCCCTTTGGTTGTGCACTATTTTTGAAAAATTTCAAGTCCCAGGAAGGAAAAGCTACCGGCTGTCTCGGGCCCGTAGCCCCAAGCCAGTCACATGGCTGAGATGTGGACACAGGCCCAGGTCTCCTGGCTGAGTTTCTGCAAACCTGCTCCTAAGAGGGTCCTTTCGCTTTCATGTTCCAGCTTGCTTCCTCGACTCCATGGCGACGCTGGGGCTGGCAGCCTATGGCTACGGGATCCGATATGAATTTGGCATATTTAATCAGAAGATTGTCGATGGCTGGCAGGTCTGTCGCTGAGGGAGTTCAGCGTTTGGTTTCCACCGTTCCCTTTGATTGTTCTGACAATCGATCATGGCTGGTATTGTCGCGCCCAACGGAGAGCGGGGCCCCTTTGTGCACAGTGCTCTGCAGACACGTAGGGAGAGGTCGTCCCTGCCACGCAGAGCTTGCAATCTGACTAGACCGAGGGTGGAGAACTGAGGCCCAGGCAGATGAAGTGAGTTGTCCGAGGTCACACGTGGCATCTGTGGCAGAGCTGGGAACGGAGCCCGGCTCTCCAGGTTGCCAGTGCCGGGCCGGTCCCTCTGTGTATTCCGACAGACAGCCGCTTGCCTTACGGACCCACGTGACGGTGTCATTCATTCTTACTCACGCTAGCTCTGCAAAAGCCAGCCCAGTTATGGGAGAAAGAGCTGGTTTCTTTGCTGGCCTGAGCACCGAACAAGCTGTAGAATTTTGGCTACGGATGACGGTTCATGAGCAAAGGACGTGCTTGACTGGCGTTCAGATCGCTGGCGGCGTCTGCGGGGTGGACAGAGCCCCGTCTTTTTACTCTCAGCTGTGCACGTTTGGCAGGCGAATCAAGGAGGCACAACAAGCAGCTGATGTGAACTGGGACAGCTCCATGCCGTCCGTGGAGTGCCCCGATTTGCACCGGTGGGGAATCCGGCCATTAATGGTTAGGGTTTCAGGGAGGTTCATGAAAAGAACAGGAGGACTTGTGGCACCTTAGAGACTAACCGATTTATTTGAGCAGAAGCTTTCGTGAGCTACAGCTCACTCCATCGGATGCATGCAGTGGAAAATACAGGGAGGTTCATGTGTCTCTTTTTAAAACTCCTTTTTTTTAAAGCTTGGGGGTTTTTTTAGTTTTCTAAAATGCCGATTAAAAGAATCTCCTTCTTAGCAGAGACCCAGTTTGGCCACAGCTAGAATAATCTTCTATGGTTGGTATGTTTCAGGTGGAGGAAGCTGATGATTGGCTGCGCTATGGCAACCCCTGGGAAAAAGCCCGCCCTGAGTATATGCTTCCTGTGCATTTCTATGGCCGAGTGGAGCACGCTGCGGAGGGCGTGAAGTGGATTGATACTCAGGTATAAAGATCCCCACTCACTTTGGGAATGGTAGTGACGTGCCCAGATGCGACGAGGGAGGGACCCTGGTCTGTCCAGAACTAAGTTTGAAGCTGGTCTCCCGTTAAAAACGTGATCCCAGCCACACTCCCAGCTTTGCCAACTCTAAACCAAACTGCCTACGCTTTCACACGATGATCGTTTGCCAAGACAAATCGGGCAGGGTGCAGTAACCTACGTAGCATCAAACTGTTCAGGGCCCGGTTCTCCCTTTACTTACACACTTCAGTGGAGCTACTCCAGATTTACGCCAGTGCAGGTTGGTGGAGATTTAGACTCATGGTGGGTGGTTTATTTTTCTTCCCTCAATTTTGGGGCAAATCTTCCTCCCTTTTATTCTGGCTATGTATATCTCAAAGCCAGTGTGTGTGGAGATTTTGTATGAGATTTACTCTGTGGCTCTTGAGAAAGAGTGGTGTCTTTGGATAGTCCGGAAGGTTTGGGTGGAGAAGATTAGTTCATCGTTATTGCAGTTGCTGGATATGTTGCTGGCTATGTTGTGGGGGAGGGATAGCTCAGTGGTTTGAGCATTGGCCTGCTAAACCCAGGGTTGTGAGTTCAATCCTCGAGGGGGCCGTTTAGGGATCTGGGGCAAAAATTGGGGATTGGTCCTGCTTTGAGCAGGGGCTTAGACTTCGTGACCTCCTGAGGTTCCTTCCAACCCTGATATTCTATGATTCTTTTATCCTGTGTTTTGTACAGCACCTAGCACATTTGGGCCCTGAACCCTGAGTGGCACTAATGGAAGTGAGAGTAGCTCTATGAAAAGAGTGAAGCAAAGACTGTAACATTGGGGTAGAGTCCTGGCCCCATTGAAGTCAATGGCAAAACTGCCATTGACTTCAGTGGTCCAGAATTTCACATCTGGATTGAAACATTTGATTTCAGGGTGTTTTAATAAGTGTGAATTTCTAAGATCTGGTCTTTTAATCCAGAAGTGGCCAGATAACAGTGATTATTGCATATAGTCCTGGGTGCTTTCCCAGAGAGGCACCCAACAGGAGAGAAGGTGAGTCTTCCGCCCATACTGTTTACCTACCACCTGCTGGACAAGAGCCTGTCCTCTAGTACACACTCCCTAGACAAGAGGGAAGATGCTCAGGTGGGTAAGGCTGGGAACAGGGAGACCTGGGTTCTGTATGTCTGCCACAATTCCCGGTGTGAGCGTGGGCTAGTCAGTTGATCTCTCTGTGCCTCAGTTTCCTCATCTAGAAGATAGGGTTAACATACTAACCGATGTGAGTTCCGAATGAGCCCTTTCTGTTCTGGCTGTGGATGCTGCTCATTCTCACAGCAGCATCGCTGCGCTCTAGGTCTCTGCTGGTAAATTGGGAGGAGCCAGCGGCTGGGTCACCCAGCGGCATACGTTGCAGGGGAATGTGATGTGTGGGTGGAAATAAACACCCGCCATCCCAGTCTGTTTAGCTCAGGTCTCTACCTGAGAGCAGCAGAGCAGCTCATGATCTTCAGGGGATTTATCCCCGTGGTACAGGTGGGAACTAAGGGACCAAGAGACTAAGTGACTTGTCCAAGGTCACGCAAGGACAGGGAATGGACCCCAGGGCTCCCCTCTCAGCCTAGCACACCAACCGCCGCCCACCCTTTCCGTAGCCGAGCCCCCAGAACTCCCTGTTCATGGTCTCTCATGGGCTTCTGTGGGAAACTTGCTCCGCTTGCAGGTAAAAGGCTGTTTGTTGTAACTGCCAGCCCCACAAACTCCTCCTGGGCTGTCCACGTGACCACGCTTTCCATTTGATTGCGAGGCTCAGGAAATTTGGTGCTTTCATTAAAGCCCCAGCTCCTGGAGTCAGCTGGTTCTGAGAGACTCCTAGTTTTCATTTAAAAAAGCAGTAAGTGTCTAATCCTCATGGGAGTGGGGAAAAGCTTGAAAATATGAATTCTGAAGGCTCAAATACCAGAAGGCAAATAAGGCAGAAGAGCCCCAAGTGTATTATATTTACAACCTCATGATGTGTAAGCCAGGCCTATGGTTGATGAGGGGCTTGACCCGTGATGTTCGAGCGCTTGGGGCTGGGTCTCCACCCTCTTGGGCCTGGGGCTGTCATTTACAGCTGGGCCAACTGGGTTCAGAATGCTCCGGTTCTGATCCGCTAGGACTGTGCAGCCAGGCAGGGAGCCCTTTGCCCGGGCATCAGTGACAACGCAAGGAGCACAGCAGAAAAGAATCAGGCAGTCGTCTTCCCGTCTCGCGCAGCATCACCAGCAGTTGAGTTTCTGCGGGACAAATTGGGCCCAGCTGGGCCCCCCGTTGCCTTTGGATCGTCCCTCTGTTTCACTTACGCAAGCCCACTGGTGTCTAATGAGAGCTGCACGAAGAACTGGTTTCTTTAGGTGAGCTTCGGTGCACGGCCAACCCGAAAAATGGGGAAAAAAAGTCTCTGGGCGTATGGAGTGTTTTGTTTGGCTTTAGAGTTTTTTAAAACTTTAAAAAAAAATAAAAGTGAAGTGAAATTGGAAACAAAAAGTCATTTTAAATTAAAAAATCCAAGCCTTTGGGGGTGGGGAGAGGTGAGTTTCATTTCCCCGGACCAAATAAATCGGCGAATTCGATGTGAATTCGCAAGATGTTTCCGTCGACCAGAACCTGCATTTTTCAGTGGAAAAAACGTGGTATCTGAAAAATTTCCCCCTGCTGCACATCTGCTAGGGATCCGCCAGGTGTTGTCCAGGGCCAGGGGGTCGTGGAGGGTCAGCAAGGGAGAATTTATCCTGCAGCGGGGGATGGCATGCGGGAGGCACAAAGAATGCGGCAGAACTCTGAGCCCAGCCTGCGACTGGCAGATCCCACGCCCACCTCCCCAAGTTGCCACTTCTGCAGCCTCACGGTGCAGGACAGATCAGCACTTTGAACATGCGTCCCTGGCACAGTCACTCGACATAAGCTGTTCCTCGTACTGTATCCTCCCCTGCAGTAAAATTGTAGCTCTGCCCTTGGAAGTGTATCTGGAAACCACCCGATAGGGAGCTCTCCGCGCCCAGGGACTTTGTAACCTGTCCAGACAACAGGGCCCTGCCCCATGACCCGGGTTCCTAGGCAGCGCTGTAATACAAACAAATAACTCGTTACTGCTGCATTATGCTCAGAAGAGCAGATTCATACAGCTCTCAGCCGACAGCACATCTCCGTTACAATGGGCGCCCACGTATCGGCCCCCATCCTGCAAACATTTCCGTGCTGAACTGCCCTACCATGCGTAGTGCCGTACCTTTCAATGGGGTTACTCACAGTATTAACACTAAGCACGTGTTAAGTCTGTGCAGGATCGGGGGGGGCCTGCTTTTCGATGCCCTGCTGCTCTTCACATCCCTTATTTTGGTTCCTTTCTGATGTGCCCCACGTTTGCTGCTTGGCAGGTTTTGAGCCATGCAGATGCTGATCTACTGATGAGCTCTCCTAAGCCTCAGGAAGAGGAATTGGAGTTAGGGCAATTTAGTGCTGACCGGGGAATCTCTGCTCGGGAAGCCTTCAGATTCCTTCTGATTTCCCAGCTCCAACTGAGCTGTTTCTGCGGCTGTAGTGGGAGCCTTCAGTCTCTCCCCCTGACTGTCTCTTCCTCACCCACTGCGCCAGGGGAAAGGGAACTCGCATGTTTCCTGGAGTGTCTGTCCAGGAAGCACAGGGGGATAGACCATTGCAAATCCTCCAACCCTGCAAGCGCTTACACACATGCTTAACGTTAAATACGAGCCCAAAGGATTGTACTCACGTGCTTAGAGGTAAGCATGTAACTGTCTTTGCAGGATCAAGCCCTAGATGGGTGTAGTTGTGATTGCAGTTTACTACACCCGCAATAGCTCACGTGCAGCCCTTACGTAAAAGCCCTGTGGAATTTAACCAGTACGTTTCAATAAACATCTAATGGGGTTCTGGGGGAATCACGCTTTAGAAACAGAGAATGAAAGCCTTTCTGTAACGGGTTTTATTTACCCATCTATGGCAGACATATAATTTTATATTGAATTCTGCAGGATGATTTGGATTTTAATGGCCGCTGAGGGTGCATTTATGACACGTGAATGAATAATTAATAGATGTTAAGCAGTTCTAAAGGTCAACAGGTTGCTTATAATCATCGATTGCACCTTTTACTGATGTGCTAGTTACTGTCTATAACACAGGCTGCTTGGATGCTATTGCTACAGAAATAAGAGCACGCTACGTCTATTCATCACTTATTAACCCTTTATAAACTATTTATAAATGTGCCCATAATATAAAGTGTGACCATTGTAACGACCAATGGATTTTAGTTTACGTGATCTTTAAATAAACCAGGAATTTTATGTCTCTGCTGTTCCTTCTCTCTCTTTCTCTCACATTAGGTTTGGGTTGTTTTCTTGCCCATTTTGTACCCTGAGGACGTCCTGTCACTAATTGGTAGTGACGTATTCTCCTCTTACAGGTAGTTCTTGCCATGCCTTATGATACCCCCGTGCCAGGATACAAGAACAACACCGTGAACACAATGCGGCTGTGGTCTGCCAAAGCACCCAATGACTTCAACCTTCAGGAGTGTAAGTGCTCTCTCTCTGCAGTCTCTGGTCATTGCTTATCTCAGAAGCTCGCTGGGGCAGGGAGGGGGGTGTGTGTGTGTACGGCACCTGGCAGGGGGGGGGCCCAGATACAATAGCACACCCTGTAAATAACACATAACACGTGTGGGTATATTTAAATCCGTCCCCCCACTTGTGCGGGAAGGGCTGGTGTCTGGCCAAAATAACAATTGTTCTGAGTCTTTAGATGTCGGTTCTGTTGGAGGGCAAGTCAGTTTGAGCCTTCAGTCCACCTACCTGCCATGCAGGTGTGGAGCGATGCTGCCAGGCGTCGCACATCTCAGGCCACAGGCTGAATTTCCCAGCCCCTCTCACACACCTGCAGCCCCGCTGGGACAGCAGGCATTTGGCTGCACGGGGCAGAAGCGGCAATTCCACCTGTGGCTGTGAGAGGCCACCGTTGAGCCTGCCTCAGGCGGCTTCTCCCTGGCTTCCTGCTGCTGGAGGCTCTGGCATGAGGAGCGGTGGTTTTCTGCCCCACCCTGGGGCCCCAGGGAAGTCCTCTTTCCCCAGCTGAGGGACCCAGCTCTCTGCCTAGACAGCACCTGCCTATCGCAGCACCCCCCCCACCTGTCCCAGACACCCCACTACTCACCTACCCCAGTTCTCCCAGACATCCCAGCACCCCCTCTCTACACAGCCACCCCGTGACTGCAGCTAGCCCCCATTGATCCAGATACCCCAGCATCCGCCCACTAAACCTAGGCAGCTTCTAGCCCCCACCACCCTAGGACACCCTCCCACCTAGCCACCCACCCTGTCCCTGCCCAGCCCTAGAGCTGCCAAGTTCTGTGCCGCCCCCACCAGTCCCCTCCCCCCCAGGGCTTGGGGCAGGATCTGCAGACCGTACACCCAAGTCCCTGAGGTTATGCACAGACTTTGTAAAGATGTAAATTGACTCTTTCAATCGTTTGCATACCGTGTCATGTGGAGCCGCAGAAAACTTGGCCGGGGTGTGACGATTGGGCCGTGCACTGGCATGAAACAGGAGGGATGCCTGGGGATGCCATTTTAACAGCCTGCTCTGTGCAAGGTTTTCTGCTCCTCCATCTCCCCCGCTACACATGGTCGTCCAGTGCACCTCAGCGCTGCTCATTGGCCAGTCCTGGATAAAACAGACCACGCAGAGACATCCCGAAGCTGTCAGCTGGGCAGCGCTGGGACAGTGAGTTACCCGCTAAGCCTCTGTGGTTACCTTCCAGGCTGCTTGCCACCCTCAGTCGAGGTGTGTGCGACAGCCGCGTGAGAGGCTGGAGGGCAGCGTGCAGCCCCCCGTGTGTCGCTACTCGCTACACATCGTGGACTCCGGACGCGGGGCCGAGGGGCTCAGGTGGTTAATCTAGCTCTCCTGAAGCCCTGGGGGCCGAATGGAGCGTTACGCAGTAGCGGAGGGGGATGAAATGACCCGGCTTCAAGGGATCCGGGTGCAATGAAGCCAAGTGCAAAGTACTTCCCCTAGGAAGGGAAAATCAAATGCTCAGCTACAGAATGGGGGAGGACTGGCAAGGTGGTCGTACCGCTGGGAAGGAGTTGGGGTTCTAGCTGATTGATGACGCCTATTCAAGCTGCGATGGGATGCTGCCGCTAATGTCACTCCGGGGGCTCGTCACAGGGGTGTCGTACATAAGGCAGGGAGGTCACTGTCCCACTCTGCTCAGCACCGCTGAGGCCTCAGCTGCAGTCCCGTGTCCAGTTCTGGGCGCCGCACTTTGGGAATGAGTCCAGAGGAGCAGAGTAAAAACGAACAGAGGTTTAGAAAACCTGAGCTCTGAGGGAAGGTTAAAAGACTGGGGGGGGGTGTACTCGGGAGAAAAGAAGACTGAAGTGGGGGGACCTGACGACAGTCTGCACATATGTGAAGGGCTGTTACAGAGGACGGTGATCAATTGTTCTCCATGGCCACTGACGGTAGGACAAGAAGCAGTGGGATTAATCTGCACCAAGGTAGATTTAGGTGAGATACTAGGAAAAACTCTCTAATGCTCAAGGCAGTTACGCTCTGGAACAGGCTTCCAGGGAGGTTGTGGGATCCCCGTGACTGGATGTTTTTAAGAACAAGCTGGACAAACCCCTGTCAGGGCTGATTTAGGGTTTACTTGGTCCTGCCTGAGCTCAGGGGGCTGGAACTGGTGATCTCTCGAGGTCCCTTATTTCCCTGATTCTGTGAGGTCCAGGCTCTGCCACTGATGCCCCGTGTGATCTCGGCTAAGTGACGTGATCTCTCTGTGCCTCAGTTCCTCAGCTCTAAACTCCCACCCTTTGTCTTATCTGCTGAGTCTGTAACTCCTCGGGGCTGGGACTGGCATGCTGTGTTGTGGCGCCTAGCACCACGGGGCTCTGATCTCAGCTGCAGGGATGTTGGCTCCAGAGGGAGTGGGATCAGGTCCTAGCTCCCTTCCTCCTTCCCTCCTGCCAGTTGTGGGAAGAACACATGCCAAGGCATGCGCGTGTTAGGGAGTAAGGTAAAAGTGTGTTGTCCTAATGGCTGTATGGCTCTGCGTGCTGTCTCTCTCCTCAGTCAATGTGGGCGATTATATCGAGGCTGTGTTGGATAGAAACCTGGCAGAAAACATCTCCCGAGTCCTGTATCCGAATGACAATGTGAGTGACCCCCTTCCCTATGCACCTTCTCACCCCTTGGGTGCATTGTGCCTAGTGAACATTTAAAGGGGGCCAGAGCAGTAGTCGGGGTCACCTAGGGCCTGACCCAAAGCCCACTGCAGGCGTTGGGCGCCTTTCCACTGACCTCGCAGGCCCCCCAGCAGGTCACACTGCACCTACGTGGTGGTTAACCGCAGCGGGGTGCGTTGCAGCAGCGGGGTGCTAGCAAGAGCCAAGCTGATGGCTGGGCCTTGTGTGTCTAGTTCTTTGAAGGGAAGGAGCTGCGGCTGAAGCAGGAATACTTCGTGGTAGCTGCCACCCTGCAGGACATCATTCGCCGTTTCAAGTCTTCCAACTTCGGCTCCCGAGACCCAGTCAGGACGTGCTTTGAGACCTTCCCAGACAAGGTGAGCACCCGGCAGATGCTGCCGCCCCAGGCCCTGCTGATACCACCTCTCTCCATCACATCCCTCGAAAGCAGGCACTAAGGACCACGTTGCCAAAGGATTTAGGTGTCGAACTCCAGCCCCTACAGCTACTTTCAAAAGAGTGAACATTTCTTGTGAAAAATGTGCCCCTTTTTCCTTTGAATTTTTGGAAGAACATTGGCCAGCTCCGCTAGAGGCATTCCTTGGCATCCATCCCGCCCCAGAGACCTTGTGCGTGGCGGGTGGCGATGGCCATGGACGCTGAATCAGCTCGGTCGCTGCCCGGTGGATTGGCCGCTCTACAGAGCGTGGGCTGGTATCGCTCTGCTGGCAGAACCTCTCGTGGAGACCTCGGAGTTCTGTCGGTGGAGCTACCTCGCCTCCCCGAACAAAATTAGCTATGTCAAAAGAGAGACTCCTCTTTCGGGGTGGGTGTGTCTACACCAAGCGTTTTGCTGGCATAGCGATCTTGCGGGGGGAGGTTCCACACTCAGAGCTGATATAGCTCTGCGGCAAAGCTGTGTCGTGTAGACCCGGCCTGGGAGCACAGGAGCATGTCCCCGCGAGTGGGTCTCACCTGGGAATCAGAGGAACAGCCGTGTTAGTCTGTATTCGCAAAAAGAAAAGGAGTACTTGTGGGAAGTGAGCTGTAGCTCACGAAAGCTCATGCTCAAATAAATTGGTTAGTCTCTAAGGTGCCACAAGTCCTCCTTTTCTTTTCACCTGGGAATGTCTCCGCTGCAGGTCGCCATTCAGCTGAACGACACTCACCCAGCACTTTCCATCCCGGAGCTCATGCGGATCCTAGTGGACGTGGAGAAAATGGAGTGGGAGAAGGTGAGTGTGAAGGGGTGGAGCTGGGCCGGGCCTGTGTTCAGACCCTGCCTCGCCGGCTCTTGCAGGAGGGTGGCCTTGGCCAGACCCAGGAGAGCCTCAATTAACCCTGACTTTGACCCTCTCCCCAGTCGTGCATCCTCCTCTGTGGGGACTTTACTCTCCCTCTCAAGCCTTCCTGTCTTTGCTGCCTCTTGCTTCCTCTCTGCAGCTGCAGTGAGTGGGGGAGCTGCCCACAGCGGCCTGGGTCCCTCTTGACCGTGCCTTCTCCAAGAGCTTCTTGCCCTGCAGTTTCTCCTGCTGACTTCCTGCTGTCTGATCTCCACCTCTCTTTTTGTTGTGCTGGGCTGTTCCCCTCTCCCCATCTCCCATAGAATCATAGGAGATTAGGGTGGGAAGGGACCTCAGGAGGTCATCTAGTCCAACCCCCTGCTCAAAGCAGGACCAACCCCAACTAAATCATCCCAGCCAGGGCTTTGTCCTGCCCACTCCACTTCCACTGCGCTCCCTTCTCCCACACTGTTCCCTTCCCTCCCCACAGCTGGGTCTGCTTTCTGTCCTGTTTCCCCCACCCCCCCACACACAGGCTCTTTGCTGTAACTGGAGTCCTGGTTGCCCTCCTGTTGGGCAGGAAGTGCCCCCTGCCGGCACAGATCTCATGGAGAAGAAGCAAAACGACCTAGAAGCAGGGAAGGCCGCTCTCATAGCAGCTGTGGGGCTGGCCTGCACTGGATAGGCCTGGCAGAGCTTCTGGAGGGCCCAGGGCTAGTGGGCTTCAGAGTAAATTCATTGATTGGAGTGCAGACTTGAACCGGGGGCTCTCAAATCCCAGGTGAGGGCCTGAGCCGCTGGCCTATCGGGGGACTCTGTAAGAGCCTTGGGGTATGTCTACGCTGCAGTAAAACACCCACGGCTGGCCCGTGTCAGCTGACCAGGGCTATAGAATTGCAGTGTAGATGCTGAGGCTGGAGCCCGGGCTCTGGGCCCCTGCTCGCTTGTGAGATCCCCAATCCCAGGCTCCAGCCTGAGCCCACCCTCCGATCAAGGGTCCGAGGGGTGCGCACGTTCACCTGAAGCACCCTTTTCCTGTCCCAAGTCGGGATGAAAAGTCAAAATCTCGAAAATTTTTGTGAACCAAAAATAAATAAATGCAAATTCCGATTGAGCCAACAGAAATGTTCCCTTTCAATTTTGACCTTTTAAATCCTGGTTTTTACCTTTTTTTAGTATAAATTAAGCTAAAAAATGGAAACGGTTGTGAACTGAAATACGAGCCTGATCTAGGGTTTGAGGCGGTTAAAACGGGACCTTTCAACAGCGTCCACATGCTTTTTCTTAGAAATGTTTGGGACCAGGGGCTTCATCAGAGCCAACCCCTGCCTGTTAGCAGGGCCACGAGTCAGCATTTTCTGACGGAAAAACGTCGTCGGCCTGCGAGTCGGCCCCACCGAGCTGGTCTGAGCGCTGAAAGGTCGTTCCTGGGCAGCGCGGTTAGAGATATCGGCTGTGTGTGTGTGTGAGAGAGAGAGAGAGAGACGTTCCCTGTCTCTGGGCAGTGCCACCCTCTGCTCTGAGATGTGGTCACAATTTGACACAGTTTAAGGCCAGAAGGAACCAGCCCATGAGCTAGTCGGACGGCCTCTAGCACAACCCGACAACCGAACTCCGCAGGGTATTGCAGCCCGCAGCAGATAGACAATCATGTGCCCTGGGCAGGGAACAGGAGGGACTGAGGTGACCTGGGGGGAAGATTCCTTCCCCACCCCACGTGTGGCGATCAGTTAGACCCTGAGGACGTGGACCAGCCAGCCCAGCGCCTGCGGGGGCTCCTAGTCTGACCCTGTTGTTGAATTTCACCCAGACCCCCCAGTAATGACGTGAGTCAGACTCGAGCCTCTGAGGCGTTTGATGTGAGCGTGTTTGTCCCCCCCGCAGGCCTGGGAGGTCACAAAGCGAACCTGCGCCTACACCAACCACACCGTGCTGCCTGAGGCCCTGGAGCGCTGGCCGGTCTCCATGTTCGAGAAGCTGCTGCCGCGCCACCTGGAGATCATTTATACCATCAACCAAAGGCATCTGGATGTGAGGGGCTCGCGTGCTCGGGAACAGGAGCTGGCCCCGGCTAACAGGGACCTCGTCTCGTCCAGGTCCCACGGCTCAGGCCTGGCCTGTGGGATGTGGATCTGCTGTTCTCGGCGTGCTGCCCACGGACGAGCGTTTGCAGCTCAGAATCACTGTCGCTCTGAGCTGCCGCTCCCCGACGGGCCGTGGCTCTGCCGTCTCCCCCCGTGGCTGCCCCGTACAGGGCGGTTCGGGACGCTGTGGATAGATAGCGGCGATCAGCCTCCAGCGCTGCCCGGCTGGTCCCTGTCACCACCAGGAAGGGAGTGGCTGGTAAAGGCCCCCCTGGGTCCTTGGTGCCCCATCTGCCTTTGAAAATACCCGCTAAAAATGTGAATGTGTGGGGTGCACCAGCCCAGGAGCAGCCCTGGGGGCACTGTGACCCACTCCTGCTCCAAGGCACAGTACCTCCCTGCCCCCCATTGCTCTTGTCACCCCCCCTTTGCTCCTCACTGGCACTGGGGGAGTGGCAGAGCTGCAGCACCCCCTTTTCGGGGGGTGTACCCCGAGTAGCCTCCCCCCAGCAGCGTAAGGAGGGCTTTGACCCCCCCAGGCTGGGCGCAGCCCCAGTGACAGTCTAGCCCCGTGTCTGCATTTTAAGGCTGCGCTGCTGACATTTCTGTGTGTGTGTCCTGGCAGCATGTGGCCGCCATCTACCCTGGAGACCTAGACCGTCTGCGTAGGATGTCCGTGATCGAGGAAGGGGACTGCAAGAGGATTAACATGGCCCACCTCTGCGTGATCGGCTCCCACGCCGTCAATGGGGTGGCCAGGATTCACTCCGAAATCGTGAAGAATTCCGTGTGAGTGACTCACCCACAGAGCAGCCTCCCATTCAGAGCAGGCTGCTTTTCCTCACCGCCCAGCCCTGTAAACTTAGCCTGGAAGCTGAGAGTCAAGCTGGGTTCTTTCCTCCTCACGCCACCAGTACTCGACTCTGCAGGCCATACAAAGCTTTCTGTTACATAAGAACAGCCACACTGGGTCAGACCAAAGGTCCTTCTAGCCCAGTATCCTGTCTTCTGACAGTGGCCAATGCCAGGTGCCCCAGAGGGAATGACCAGGTAATCATCAAGTGAACCATTCCTAGCAAACAGAGGTTAGAGACACCATTCCTGTCCATCCTAGCTAACAGCCATTGATGGATCTATCCTCCATAAACTTATCTAATCCTTTTTTGAACCCTGTTATAGTCTTGGCCTTCACAACATCCTCTGGCAAGGAGTTCCACAGGTTGATTGTATGTTGTATGAAAAAATACTTTCTTTTGTTTGTTTTAAACCTGCTGCCTATTAATTTCATTTGGTGACCCCTAGTTCTTGTGTTGTGAGAAGGAGTAAATAACCCTTCCTTATTTACTTTCTCCACACCAGTCATGATTTTATAGACCTCAATCATATCCCCCCTTTGTCGTCTCTATTCCAAGCTGAAAAGTCCCCATCTTATTAATCTCTCCTGTTCCATACCCCTAATCGTTTTTGTTGCCCTTTTCTGTACCTTTTCCAATTCAATATATCTTTTTAAAGATGGGACGACCACATCTGCACACAGTATTCAAGCTGTGGGTGTACCATGGATTTATAGAGAGGCAATATGATATTTTCTGTCTTGTCTATCCTTTTTCTTAATGATTCCCAGGATTCTGTTCACTTTTTTGACTGCTGCTGCACACTGAGTGGATGTTTTCAGAGAACTATCCACAATGACTCCCAAGATCTTTTTGTTTTTGAGAGGTAACAGCTAATTTAGCCCTCATCATTTTATATGTATAGTTGAGATGACGTTTTCCAATATGCATTACTTTGCATTTATCAACATTGAATTTCATCCTCCATTTTGTTGCCCAGTCACCCAGTTTTGAGAGAGTCTTTTGTAGCTCTTCGCAGTCTGCCTGCGACTTAACTATCTTGAGTAGTTTTGTAACATCTGCAAATTTTGCCACCTCGCTGTTTACCCCTTTTTCCAGAACATTTATGAATATGTTGAATAGGACTGGTCCCAGAACAGACCCCTGGGGGACACCACTATTTACCTCTCTCCATTCTGAAAACTGACCATTTATTCCCACCCTTTGTATCCTATCTTTTAACCAGTTACTGATCCATGAGAGGACCTTCCCTCTTATCCCATGACAGCTGACTTTGCTTAAGAGCCTTTGGTGAGGGACCTTGTCAAAGGCTTTCTGAAAATCTAAGTACACCCTTGCAAACCCTGCTGTAATTCCCCCTTTCCCACCACTTGCTCCTAAAAAGGAAGGACGCATGCACTTACATCATGGTGATGGAGGGGACCGTAGATCAGGGACTTCTGCAAGAGAGAGAAGCAGACTTTGGGTAGATTCAGAGCCTAGGTGTGGAATCGCAGTTTCAGCAGCTTGGAGCACAGGTAAGGGCCTAGTACAGGTCCAACTGATGTCAGCAGAAAGATTTTAGCTGGAGTTGTAAATAGAGTCAGGAGCATCCGAGGTTACAGTTTGATAAAACTCTGCTGGGAATGGACCTGTTCAGTGTCTCCCCTACTGCCCATGCATTTCAGATTCAAAGATTTCTATGAGATGGAACCAGAGAAGTTCCAGAACAAGACGAATGGCATCACTCCGAGGCGTTGGCTCCTGCTGTGCAACCCAGGACTAGCAAGTGTAATTGCTGAGGTGAGCCACTCGAACAGGAGCTACTTAATCCTAGTGTTTGGCCACAAAATAGTCTTCAGAGCAATGTAAACAAACAGGGGGCCAGATCTTCAGCAGGTGTCAATCCACGTAGCTCCAGGCAAGTCTAGAGGGGCAGCTGTCTCACTTCTTGAGCCTCTGACACACACATGCATTGATGGCTGAGCTTTAAAATCAGCCATCAGGAGTTAATCAAAGAACTGCACACCTTTGGCTCCATCTTCCCATGGGCTGAGGGTAGATTCTCAGAACAGAATCACCTCCCTTGATGTCATGATATATGGAATGACAGTCTGTCTTAAATGGGGCATGCACTAAAGAAAATATGTACAGCCACTCTCACAAACCGGCTCCCACACAGCTTGAGTTCCAGCTTTGTCTCCTTTGTTTACCAGGACCACACCTTGCCAAGAACTCCATACAGCACACTAAGACATCTAGTGGCTGATAATACACTGCAAGTACTCTGTCCATCAGATATTCGAGCTGGAAGTAATTCCCGGCACATACGGCCGTTCTTTGCTTAGCTGTATGGGAGTGCTGTAGAATTGTGTGATAGACTGAAATGTTTTTGTACCAATCATTTATTCCCAGTACATTTGAACTCTAAAACAATGCATAGTAATAACCCAGCCACAATAATTGCTGCCATATTTTTGCCACGCCTGGCTTTTTTCTTTTCTTTTTTCTTTCCCAGTCAGGACTGAGGCACTTCTAGCAGGGAAGTGAAATTCTGCAGCAAGTCAGTCATCTAGCAAAGGACATTCATCTCCGGTTTTATTTCCTCAGAAAATCGGAGAAGATTTTGTAACCGATCTGAGCCAGCTGAAGAAGTTACTGGATTTTGTCACTGACGAGGTGTTTATCAGGGATGTGGCCAAAGTCAAACAGGTAACGTGGACATCGGGGCAACTAGTCACAGCCTAGTTCTCAGGCTGAAAATTCTGCTGGGGCAATGGGTGCACTCTGTTGACATCCGTGGTGTTTTACCTGGCAGAGAATTGGGCCCATAGAATCTCAAGATGGAAAATACTTATTAGTTGGTCTCGCTCATTCCCCTGACCGTGCAGGATTGTCCATTTTTTGTCCGACTCAGGTTGAAAAGTTGAAATACCAAAACTCGTTCCAGAATGAGAAGTTCTGAAAAATTTTGATGGGGAAACTTTGAAACACTTTGATTCAGGGCAGCGCAGCATTACCCTGTACCTGCCCAAGCTGCTTCATCGCCTCCTGGGAGCTGTAGTTTGGGTACCTCATGCCCATTCATCCTATGGGCCGGGCTCCACGGCCACTACATCTCCCATGATGCATGGTGTTCATGGTACTCCCATGATGCAATGTGGCAGCTCAGTCAGAACGGACATCTTGGTGCATCATGGGAGATGTAGTCTGGCCAAGGAGCCTAACCCATAGGGGAGATGGGGTTTGATGTACCTGAACCACGATGGCTCAGGCGGACACAAATTAATGCTGAACCAGCAGGAAATGTTTTAATTTGATTTTCCAAACGGAAAATCGAGACATTTTGGCACAATCAACATTTTCTAACGGGAAACGTTAGTTTTGCTGCAACCACCTTTTCCAGCAAAAAACATCGATGGAAGATTCCTGACCAGCTCTAATATAAGAGACCTGACCGAGAGGACCAGAGAGAGGACCCGAGAGAGCTGCAGCACCAAAGAGATTCATGCTGGAGGCAACAGGCCGCTTTGGATTTGTCCCCATTTCTTGATGTCTGGCTGTGCCCCATTGGTAGTGAAATGCTCCTCCCATTTCTATCTTCTTACTCCCTCCCCCCCCCCGCCTTTCTCATGCTCTTGTTTTCTTCTTTTCTTATCCTCATTCCATCTTCCATCTGGCCCCACCTTTCCACAGCTGGCTGGGCAGGAACTTGGGAACTGCCAGACTGGAGCAGACCATCTTGCCCACCATCCTGTCTTTGACAGTGGCCTTTCCCAGCTTCTCCGGAGGAAGGAGCAAGAAAGCCCAGCAGTTATGGGATAATGTGACCCCAGGGAAAGTTTCCTCCTGACCCCCGTCAGCTGGGTGTTGGTTTGTGCCCTGGAGCATGAAGGTTTATAGCCCTTCCAAAACTCTTGGTTTTTTGACCCTTACTCGTGTGACTCTTGTTATCTGTATAAATGATCCCTTTTTAATACTGCTAAGCTCAGGGCGTCCATGATACCTTGTGGCAGTGAATTCCACACGCTAATTGTACGCTGTGCGAAGAGGTATTTCCAGTGATCAGTTTGAAATTTGGGATCTTTCTATTTCAGTGACTGTCCCCTTGTTCTTGCACTGCCTTAGCAGTTCCCAATCTACCTCCCTGTGCAGTCCTTGCTTCAGGCAGCCATCCGCCCATCCCAGAGGTTCCCGGAGGTGCTTCAAGCTGTGAGGAAGAGGGATTTCCTCATGCATTTCCAAACACGTGCACACAACGTGTATTTGCACCTTTGTCGAGCAATCCGTGGCATTAGCTTTGGAGGCAGGTGTCTGGTGTGCAGGTAGAAGACGCCCATCCTACGAATCCCTGGGTGGGTGGAAGTTCACCACTCACTCCCCACCCACGGCGCTGAGCACTCGTGACTGGAGCTGGTCAGGAATTTTTCAGCAGAATGTTTTTTGTCAGAAAATGGCGATTCATGAAAACCAAAACTGTTCCTGGAAGTGTGTCCGTTTCAGTGGAACTTTTGTTGAGAACGACCCACAGATCCAGGAAGGAACTGTGACAGAGAGAGAGAGAAACCCACCCCAGCATTGCCAGCAGCCCAGTGATGAGGCTCTCACCTAGGAAAACCCAGGTTCGAGGCTCTGCTGTGAATCAGACAGAGCAGGGACTTGGTAAATATTCACTGGCCAGAGAGAGAATCTGCCAGAGGAGCTCTTGTTTTCCAGCCGGCTGCACCGTTACAGACGAGCTGTCAGACAGGTACTCAGCTGTCTCCCCACTTTCTTTCCCAGGAGAACAAGCTCAAGTTCTCTGCCTACTTGGAGGAGAAGTACAAGGTGAAAATCAACCCGTCCTCCATGTTTGACGTGCACGTGAAGAGGATTCACGAGTACAAGAGGCAGCTCCTCAACTGCCTGCACATCATCACCCTCTACAACCGTGAGCTGGGTTCTCACTCCCACCTCTCCGCGCAGCTGCGTGGCTCACTGGGACCAGAGGGCCCTTTGGGTGCAGGAAGGAGGGCTGTGCCCCCAGGCGCCAGTCTAGGGGCAGTGGGGGGGGGGACTGGGTTTGTCTCGCAAAGTTCTGCCCCTCTGGCCTTGTTGTTGGTCCTTTCCCAAGCAATGTTTGGTTCCTAAATATGTATTTTCAGTGCAAATGGGTTTCCTAACTTCCAAAGACCCCAGTTACTGTTGGTTAACGTGGGCTGTATAACCCCATGGTCACGCTGTGTTCCAGAAATACCAGAGCCCAATTTCTGCTCCGGGAACGGATGGTCAATGTCAATTCTTGTGTCTTCACGGAAATGCTGATGGTGCTCTGAGGTGGCCATGACTGGAAGGTTTAGCACAGAAGCAGATGCAGATCTGGTGTCTATAGTTATGTTTACTTAGAGTATAAAGTCCTTAAGGCAGTGACCACGTGTTCTGTATTTGTACAGCACCTGGCGCGACGGGGTCCTGTTCATGACCGGTGCCTCCAACCGCTACTGCAGCCAAATAGCATCATCTCTTTGTTACTCTGCACCGTTACCCTGCATTACTCTAATTTTATCCTCTGAATCTTTCAGGCATGAGAAAAGACCCATCAAAGTCCTTCGTGCCAAGGACTGTCATGATTGGAGGAAAGGTGAGACGTTCCATTAACTCTTCCTTTTGAGCACCGTTTAATACGCTGAACTGGGTGCATACCTCTGCCTTCTGCTGGAGAGCGCATGTATTACTGGCCTTATGGCTTCCGGTCTGTAAAGACCGGCGCCCCGCCCCCCGTTCTCCACTGCACAGACACCGAGGGAGAGCACGAAGGTGGAGGCAGAGGCCTGGCCGAGGGAGCCCAGTGGCTGAGAGACTCAAACCACCTGGGGAAGGGTTTGGCCTGGGGACGAAGAATCACAGGCTGTGGCCACCAGTGGGGGTCTTTGCAGGACTCCGGTGGGCTTTGGCTCTTCACTCCAGCGCGGCCGTATCGTCTTGCTGCAGTCCCGTGCGCCCTGTGTTCCAGCACCGGCGCCAGAGCGGATGCTTGGTTTGAAAGCGCCTTTCTTCTGCCTCTGCTCAGCCCCGCTCCTGGAGCCGGCTGCCGTTCCGTAGTCGCCTTCTCTTCGGCGGGAGCGATCGCAGCTCCTCTGCAGCAGCCACTTGCGGTGCCCGCTTCTCGCGGAGTACACAGGCCTCAGCACATCGGTTTAAAACCATTTGTAAGCCTTGTGCCCCGTGTAAGCCCGCAGGGCCCCGGCCTCTTGAACCAAAGTAAGAATTTTCACTGCCCTGCCCCTAGGAATAGCATACGACCCGGGCTCCCAAACTCTCTTGGTCTTGCACCACCCTGTTGAAAGACCGTTTGAAGAGAACGGCTCAAGCTCACGCCTGCCATCTCAGGAACCCCTGGCCTAGGCTGTTCATCTTGGCAACATCCACTTGGACTGGAACTAGCAGTCTGGGGGGCTGCCACACGCCCTGGCTTGCAGCGGTTTCCATCCTATCCAGGGCTTACAGTTTGGTTCAGTGGCTCTCAGCACCCCCCACTGTACACACTGGTCCAGTCCCCCTGGGAGTCCCTTCTTTTCGCCTTACTGTGTATTTCTTTATTTAACTTTTTCTGTGTCTCTGTCCCCCTCTGCAGGCAGCTCCCGGCTACCACATGGCCAAAATGATTATCAAACTGATCACGTCCATCGGGGACATCGTCAATAACGATCCCTATATAGGAGATCGACTGAAAGTCATCTTCTTGGAGAACTACAGGGTGTCCTTTGCTGAGAAAGGTAAGACAGCAAAGGGCGTGGACTGCATGGATGCTGTGAGTTGGTGGCGTCCGGGCCGTTCGTAAGGGAAACCAGGAACCGCTTTCACTAGGGGCAGTGCTGGGATTAAGGGTCAGACTGAGAAATGGGGATAAGGGAACTCTGTGTATTTGGCAATAGCAAACGCAGCAAGGGAAATGCGGGAGCAGACTGTGGGGCGGGGTGGATCTGGCCAGAGCAGGGCACAGGTTGTGGGTCTCCATTGAAACCTCCCTTTGGAGCTTTCCCAGCATTCCCTGCTGTGGGATTGCAAAGCGTGGGGTGCTCCAGCCATAAGTACCAGAGAAGCTGCACGGGCAGAAGAGACCTCGCCACGAGGGTGCAGCCCCTGTAGCTCTTCGCTCTTCCGATGTGTCCGCTCACGTAAACGCGAGGAGTGAGATCCAGCTGAGAACAGCCCCGAGGGTGATATTTGAGTGCTCCCCATCCTGGGCGAACCAGAGACGTGTGTCGGAGACCTGATGCGTTCAAAGGGGCCTGGAGCTCTGGCTGTGCGTTGTCATGGAAACTCGCCCTGCGTTTGAATGTCCCGGCTCCCTTAACCCTCGGGTCAGGCAGCCCTGAACCAGGAACGTGCGCCCATGTATAGCGCTGCTCTGGGGTCTCCTGTTCTGACACAGCCGGCTGCCTGTCCTCGGGTGCCCAGCCGTGGATTCACCTCCCCAGCCATCACCAGCCACGTGATTTTCCACTTGCACTTCACCCCAGGCTCCTGTGGGGAAGGACCAGGCTGGATCCTGGTTTCCTGGTGCCGGTTGGGAAGAGACTTGCTCCAGGAAGGGGTTGTCAGTGGCGCTCCGGCCAGGGGTGCAGTGCTCCTGGCTGGTGACAGTGGCTCCTGGGAGCGGGGTGAGGATGGGGGTGTGTGCTGAGTGCCTGGGAGAGCCTGACTGCAGATGTCGGCCCAGCCCCTCGGCTGTGGAGCTTTGGGTCTGGGCTGCAGAGGTGACTTTGTGCCCCTCTCCCCCAGGTCCTGGCCGGCTCTGCACCTAGCTGGTGCCCTGAGCTTGAGCACCCTGCGTTGTATCCGCCCACGGGGCCAGCGGAGCCGCTGGGGACTGGGCAGGCCCCAGGAGCTGCGAGCCAGCAGCAGGGCAGGGGTGCGTAGGAGCCGCGGTGCTGGCCCCACACTGCTGTTCAATCCCTGTACTGGAGGGAGGGGCCTGTCCCTGGCTGGCTCCGCGGGGCAGAGAGCTGCACAGGGCTGTTAGCCAGCTGGCCCCAACAGCCCCGGCCCGCCCCCGCGGGCTGGCCCCTGTAAGAGCTGGGACAAGGGGTAAAGAACAGCGGCCTGTTAACTGCCTCCTTCCCCCCACCCGCAGTGATTCCCGCGGCCGATCTGTCCCAGCAGATCTCCACGGCTGGCACCGAGGCCTCAGGCACGGGGAACATGAAGTTCATGCTGAACGGGGCCCTCACCATCGGGACCATGGACGGGGCCAACGTGGAGATGGCGGAGGAAGCCGGCGAGGAGAATCTGTTCATCTTCGGCATGCGGGTGGAGGACGTGGAGGCATTAGACAAGCGAGGGTTTGTAGAACAGCCTCGCGGGCGACCCAGGCTGCCCCCTGCCAGAACGTCCTTAGCCCCCCCCTTCCCCCATTGCCCCAGGCGTTCCAGGGCAAGCTGGCCGTGGGCCGGAGTGGGAGCTGGGGGAAGGACGCGAGCTGTTGTGTGGAAAGGGGAGAGGGCGAGATAGGTGCAGCCGCGTGCGGGAAGGAGACGGGTCTGGGTCCGAGTCAGCGTTACAGGAGTGGAGCAGGAATAGCTGCCAGGAGCAGGTCGCTCTGGTTGGATTCAGAGCCAGGGACTCGTGGAGCGTTGCTCATGGCCCTGGCACGGGTTGGAGGGGCACTAGGGCCTGGTCTAGGGCACTGACTGTCATGCGTCTGCTGCATTGGGTAGCCATGCCAAGCCATGCCAAGGAGCAACTAGCAGAGGTTGCTGGGTGAGACGTCCCCCACCCCTGCGTAGCGCTGGGGAATGAGCCCCGCTCCTGGGAAGCAGCAGTGGCCGCTGGGGTACGTGGCTGCAGCGGATCGGGGCTGTAGCATCAGTTTTCACCTCTGATGTGTTAAAAAAAAAATCAAACCAACCCCCCACCCAGCTCCACACGCAGTCCCCTTGCGTCACGGAATCCAGCAGGTCCGGGCCAGAACCGCGTCCCGTGCACTGTTCCTTCTAAGCTGTGCGCGTGCATGCAGATCCTAAACCCCACGCACACAAAAATGCGCACAGAAGACATTTTTAGCGCACATGGCCTGTCAAAAATTAGAGGGAACATTGGTCCCGTGTCCTGCCCCGCCGCAGAGGGGCTGGAATGGCAGAGAGACCAGGTCTGCTTAAGTAGCTGTTAAACTCCCACCCTTGCAACCCCGCCAGTGGGAGGAAGCCTGGACGCATGAACGGAGACAGGTCCCCGCCTCTAAACCCTGCTCCAGCTGAACTCGAGGATAGGGCCCAGGGCTCGCAGCCTGGTGGCATCAGCACGCCGTGGAGGAGCCCGCCCCAGTGCATCATCAGCGCAGGGCATTGAGGAAAAGGCCAGTGTGGACACATGGTGACACTCCAAAGAGCACCTGCATCCCCTGGTCAGACGCGACCTCAGCACTTTGGGCCAGATGTGTCAAAGGGATTTAGGCACCTAAAGATGGTACCTAGTAGGACTTTTGACACACCCAACTCCCACTGAAACCAAGGGGGGTTAGATGCTCAGGCACTTTTAAAAGCCACACTGAGAGCCTCTCTGAGTGCTGAAGTACCACTGAAAAATGGTCCTTCGGCTCCTAAATCCTTCAGGCTTGGCCTGCACTAGCAGGTGCTTGCTGGTAGCGCTACGCTGACAAACCCCCCTCCTGTGCACACAGCTTGTGCCGATGCAGCTCGGACCAGCGACTGGGGCCTTGGGCTGGTACAGTTCAGCCCAGGTCCCCCAAACAAAATAAGCCAGCCTGGCAAAAGGACAAGTCTTTTTCTGGTATCAAAATAGGATTAAAAAAATCCCTGCTTACCACCACTGCCGCTATCCCAGCAAGCTGCTAGCAGAGCCCTGGTCGAAAAGCCCCTTTTGGAAATGGGGCCTCGGCTCCTCGGTCACTTCGCTGCCTTGGCAAGCCGAGGGCAGTCAGCGACCCGCGGCGCTGGGTGCAAACACTGGTACTCCCCTGAAAGCTGTTGCCGGGGGAAGGCGCTAACCTTTCACTGCCACGAGAACGTGGCTCTTATTGCTGGGTGTGCCCAAGCCGTACAGAGCCGGCTGCAGCGTGCACGTCTCTCCTGCGTAGGTACAATGCTAGGGAATACTACGAGCGCATTCCGGAGCTGAGACAAGCCATCGACCAGCTCAGCAGCGGCTTCTTCTCGCCTAGAGACCCTGGCTGCTTCCGGGATGTCGTCAATATGTTGATGAACCACGACAGGTAGGAGCCAGTGAACTTGGTCCTTCGTTCCAATCCGGTATGGAAGCCCCTGTGAGCCTCTGGTGCAATATTCCCCTTCCATCTCCAGCCTGGGGAGATGTGGTCGGGTGGCCATGGAAGCTGGAGTCCAGTTAAGGACGTCGGACCAGGTCCAACCTGCCCCTGTGTGAAAGCCCCCTTCCCATGATGGCCCCATTCACGGAGCCGAGTGGGCTGGACTTCACGCTGCACCCGTGCTCTGGCCGTGGACTCCCAGCCCAGGGCAGCGGCTGGCCCTTGTACCCAGGGCTAGTGTGCAGCTGTCACAGCAGGCGTAACGCCCGGCCCAGTGCACGTCGGTCTCACCCACTGGTTCCCTTCTCCTCGTGCGGACACAGCCGGCCCGCAGTGAGTGACTGGGGCCTTCCCTGCGCTTGTAACCCTGGGGCTGCGGGCCAGGCTCCTTCCCACGTTTGGGCCAGGGCCCCACCCTCCTGTGCCTGGGGTACTGCTGCCCCGGGGAGGGTAAAACGCCGTGAATGTCAAGCCAGCTTCCTTCTCTTCCTTCCAGCAGGGGTGGCTTGCGGGGGGGGCTGGTCCCCCCACCCTGGAAGAGAGCAGGGGGGCAGCCCTGGATTCCTAGCGATTCTCTAAAGACAAGAGCCGCTGCTGCGGAGGATCTCTGCCTCCCTGCCTGGCATCACCACCCCTGCAGCCATGGCACGGTGCTGCCCTCGGAATCCCTCCCCGGTGCCAACGTGCAGTAACTCGCTCCAGGGGCCCCGCTGGGCCTGCAGCCCTCTACCCCGCTTCCCCACCCCGGACCTGGGGCTTCTGCAGGGGAGCGGGGAGCGCCAGTACCAGGCTAACACCATGGATTCATCTCCCTGCCACTCACAGATGCACGGGGGAAACGAGAGCCAAGAAACAGGGCACGGACTGGGTTATGAGCAGACAGCACCAGTTTCCTTCAGTCTGCGATAGCCACGTAGGCTCCTTCAGCAGCTCAGGGCTGTGTCGGTTCCTAATGCTGGAGAAACCCAGCAGCACATTTCCTGATCGTCCCCGATCCTTCGCACTGACCTGAGCAGCTGACTCAGGCTTGAGTTCCGCATCTCACTCTCCTCTGCTCTGGTTTCAGATTTAAAGTGTTTGCCGACTACCAGGCCTACATGGAGTGTCAAGGCCACGTTGACCAACTGTACAGGGTAAGAGAACCACGCACTGCAGCAAGCGGCTGGATGGTCAGCAACACCGACAGTGAACGCGAAGGCCTCAGCTCCACTCATGGGTTTGCTGGCAAAGCTAAACCGGCATAGCCCTGCTGGCAACCCCTCCTAGGACAGAGACAGCTTGTGGCAGTAGAGCTCACACTGGCTCAGCAAGTGAAATAACCAGCCCAGCCACGTCCGTCCGTGCTGATATAACTACATCTGCACTGGGGCTTTTGCCGTCTTAGAAGTGTCACCGAAACTTGTTGCACATAAGAACGGCCAGACTGCGTCAGACCAAAGGTCCGTCCAGCCCAGTGTCCTGTCTGCTGACAGCGGCCAATGCCAGGTGCCCCAGAGGGAATGAACAGAACAGGGATTCATCCAGTGACCCATCCCCTGTCGCCCATTCCCAGCTTCTGGCAAAAAGTACGGGTAAAAGTTTCTAGTGCAGAGCTGTCCTCAGCCACCGTCCTGCTCCAGGGGAAGTGGTGGAGACCCCATCCCCTGGATATTAGAAGTATGTTGGCCAAAAGGCTAGTAAATAAATGTACAAGAGAACAGACCTGCACTGGCCGGGCGCCAGAGTAGATGACCTGTCCGGCTTTTCCGGCTCTCGGTTCTGTTGCGTAAGGAACCCTGCTGCAGCAGCAATGAATGTGGTTGTGTTTTCACAAAGCAAAGCGTGAACAAGCTGCCTGCCCCACACTCTGACCCCGTCCATGCTAGCGAGCGGGGCAGTCTGTACAGGGCTGTTGTTCCAACCGGGAGCAGAGTGACTGGGAGGGAACAGCCCAGAAGCAGCTCGCTCCAAGTCACACTCCGAAAGCTGTAACCCATGCGGTTTCATGTTGCCTTTTCATCTTCATTACAGAAGCCAAGAGAGTGGACTAAGAAGGTCATCAAGAACATCGCTTCCTCAGGGAAGTTTTCCAGCGACAGGACGATCACCGAGTATGCCAGAGAAATCTGGGGTGTGGAGCCATCAGCTGTGAAGATCCCCCCACCTAACATCCCCAGGGATTAAGCTTGGCACTAAATGTGTGTCTGGTTGATCCAGGCTTAAGGTGCTTCTGGTTTCCAGCTATGTTTGCACAGATGAACTTAACACCAGTTGAGGGTCTGGAATCTATAAAATAGGGCATTTGCCAGGGAGAAGAGGCGGGTGCTTTTAATAAGAGCAGAGAGGAGAGATGTTGGCCAAAGCCTTGTGTGTGAAAACAGGTAAAACAAAAGGAGCAGCAGGAAACCTGGTTAGAACTAAGGCCATTCTGTCTGTTACTCAGTTAACCAACTTGCATGTCCTGTACCGTGTTGAGTGAGCTAATGGCTGCCTAGGCTTCCTGAAGATACATCCCATGCTAGGCCAAGCACTTAGTGAAATTCTTGTTTTCCCCTTCCGTAGAAAGGCTGCTCTAATCTCTATAGAGGGGGTGATCACTGAACACCCTGCTCAGATGATCTGCCAGCATGGTCTGAACCTGCCCACGCCTCCTACCCCACCAGTCGTTGCTAGGAGCCTCACCTGGGTTCTTACACCTTCTAGCCACAGTCAGCGCTGGGACACTGGTTAGGTGAAGCAGGAGTGGAACCAACACAGGTCATTTTCCCTATTTAAAGGTAAATGACCCCACTCTAGCCAAGTGTCTGGTTTTGCTGCATGGGGTGAAAGAGGATTAAACTCCACTAGCCAGCAGGCCCATTTTAATGATCAAGAAATGAGATTTATTTATTTTTAAACTGCCCCGTAGGAAACTTGCAGAAGGAGCTGACAGGCTCTGTGTGCGCACAGCAGGGGGCTTTTGGAGCACACCTGAGCCCTAACCTCATGGTTGTTTCTGCATCTAGCAGCCCCAGGTGGGGTGTGTTTTTCATGCTGAAAGGAGGCAGCTACTGGACTTCAGCCAAGATTGAAACCACCTGCTTTCCTTACCAAAGACTGCACCTCATTTGAATTAAAAAGCAGCTTGCAGACAGCAATTAAATATGGAGGTGCCCCCTGGAGCTGTTATAGATCCTGGTCTAAGGCACTATCTTGCTCCAAGTGGTGTCTGTAGAGCTGCTATGAAGGCATGTGAGATTGTATTAGCTTTCATCAAGCAGTTTGTGGCTGGGCCTGGATTGCGCTCCTGTTTCCACTTTGTAACGCCTACAAGGCCCATGCTGGCCGAAGGGCTTACTGGTCTCTGAAGAAATACTTGCAAGCACCAGCCTGTAAACGCTGTGCTTGTGAGATAGCATGGCGGGGCTGGATGGCTTCTGAGGCATGTGGCCACAGGCACAGGGCGAAGAGGAACCCATCAGCTTAGCACTTCCCCTGGCTTCCCAAGCCCTGCCTGAACCCAAGATCCATTTTTGTTGTTGGTGCAGTTGTTGGCCCCGCAGTAAGGGACAAAGACACTGTCACTTTCCCTCTGGCCAAGGGCCCTGCAGTTACTGTGCTGGCCAAGGGCCCTCGCTGGCCACGCTGACCTGTTCCTGCACAGAACTGCTGCATCCCCTTTTCTACCCCACCCAAGCCCAACTGTCTGTGTGACCTATGCCCAGAACAAGCCATCGCCCACCCTGGGGCATTGGCTACCAACCAGACCACCTCCATCAAGGAAAGAGGCCCAAAGCTGGGACCATCAGCTAGCAGGCAAGTCACTTCCCCCAAAGCCCTTCAGTCTGCTCAGAGCTATAAGGCAGGGTCAGGACAGCCTGGCAGGCAGCAACCCCCTGCTACAGGGACCATGACAGCCCCAGTGCTCTTAGTAGCTGCCCCTGTTGTCCAATAGGGGAAAAGGCCTGGAACAGTATGGATGGGCTCTACAGCAAGGGGCCTCCACAGCCCAGGGAAGGACCCGAGTATTAGGCTCCATGTATGTTATCAGCCGCAGCTGGACTCCATCACAGCCCATGCGTTGCTGGAATTTGAAGCTCCTATTGCTGGAAGAGCCAGGTTCCTGCATGGTCTCCCTTGGCCCAGCTCACCCAGAGCAAGCCCGATCTGATACGATAACTGCATTGTCCTCGCCAAGCCTCCCCCCATGCATTTCCTTAGTCCTACGAGTGGAGCCAGGAAAAGCACAGTCAGTAGGAACCTCAGTACAGGTGAGGCTCTGGGCCCAGGAGCTGACTGCCAAATACAGAATTGCTGGGAAAGCTCATCTGCAATAGCACACCTGAAATTAAGTCACTGTGTCCAGGCTGGCGTGCCTTTGCTGTGACCATTGATGTGTTACGTCTCTATGCCCATGAGCAGAGAAAAGGACTAAGCCCGTCACTTCCCAGCGAGGAAGGGGATACACTTTTGGTGTGCATTGAAATCAAGTACAGTCCCTTCTTTAAATGATCAAAAAGACCAACCCCTAAGTCCACTTAACAATTTTTCACTGTAGTGTTGTTGCAGCCATGTTAGACCGAGAATCGTGGAGAGACAAGATGGGTGAAAAAGGGCTTTTAATGGCTCATGAGCTGGAGAAGACCTGAAGAGCTCAGTGTAGCATTATCTCACTCACCTTGTGGCTCTAGGATTTTTAAATGCTGTCAAATTTCTTGAGTATACAACGCTACGTCTGCTAAAGAATGTACCGTACTTCATCTGCATGCAGCTGCTGATCTACTTCCATTGTGTTTTGTGTTGATCTGTACTAGGCGGAGTACTTGCTGGATTGTCAATGCATTACTCACATTTCATAGTCTGTGTTCCACAAACTGGGATATTTGAACTGCAGATCAGCTCGTACTGAGCAGGAACGTGGAAGGTTTTGAAATTAGAGCATCCCAGTTGCTTCCGTATCAGCCTCTAATGGGACATGCAAATAGATTTAGTGTATTGTTTCAACATGCTGGCATGAAGTATGGATATTAATCTGTGTAGTGAATCTGTGTTCCTCACTTGTGCATTGGAAACTGATTAAAACAATCAAAATGCCCAGCTGGTTTGTGTTCAAATCCTTGGTCTCTAGTACTAATAGCCTCACAATAATATAAACCTTAGAAATTGACTGGGGGCTCAGCAAATTAAGTAATCACTGATTCTGCTTTCCCTCCCCCCCACCCCTTAGCCACCCAGGACCATCCTTACCCATACACCAGCTACCTAGGGCACCAGGAAATGTGGGGCACCAAATTGCCTGGTGCCCTACGCAGCTGCATGCTGCTCCAGCAGCCAGCTAGGAAAGCTGCCACTGCCCCTGCTCTGCCTCTTCCCCAAAGCTCCCACCCCTGGTCTGCCCCAGCCCTACCTCCATTTCACCCCTTCCCCAAGCTATGTCCTGGGGGACTGCAGCAGGGGTCGGGTATGCCCCCGCACTCACCAGGCAATGGGAATTGGAGCAGGTTAGGGCCTGGTCGCTCTCTCTGCCAGCTCCCAGCCACACCACCAGTGAGTGCTGGAGGGTGGTTCCCTTCTGTCCCCCAAGTCCCAAGGCCAGGAGCCAGAGAAGCAGAGCAGAGGCAGGCTGGGGCCAGGTCACTCCACTTCCTGCCACCCCATAAGTGCAGGGTCAGGCCTGCCCTGCAGTCACCGGGCAGCAGGAAGTGGAGCGACCTGGCCCCAACCCACTCCACTGGCACATGCTGGGGGGCAGTTTCCCCCTTGTGCCCCCAAACCTGCTCCTGTCCCCCCACAGAGGCCTAGGGCCAGCCCCCTGCCCGCAGAGGGGGGGCTGCGTAGGACACCAAAACTTCTAGGGACAGCCCTGATGCCACCCTGCGGAAGCCATTTCTGTGCCTACTTTGGTCCCACCAGCCTCCATGCCTACACTGTCGGCTTTGGCCAAAGATTGCTGGCTGGATAAGCTGCCACCCTCCCTTTAATTCCTACCCTACACATTTATCAGGGCCTAGAACCACGTCGAGAACAGAAACTAGGTTCAGTGGGAAAGTACTGAGTCTGCAGGTGGTTTTATATTAACTACATGCCTTGTATACTTACAGGTTGTTGCATAACCCATCACAGCCCCTCTTTTACCCCCTATGACATTCATTGGCACAGCCCAGCACTCCTCCCCGTTTGTTCATACAGCAGGAAAAACGTTCCAGTGACCCCCAATCCCATGAAAAGGTGGTGTTGTGAGGTGCCCCCCCCGGAGAACCGATGGCATAGCCCATTCTGATCATCTCTCCAGCATTACTTGTCGTCAGAGGAGCACCGAGTACCTTTAGAAGCAAAGAACAAGTTTGGAACGCCAAGGGATACTTCAATGTACGCAGGTTTTGCTTGGAAACTCACTGATGGATCTGAGGTTTGCCAACTCCAAGGGAGGCATTAAATTCTGCCTCAAGCTGAGCTCTCTCCTTTCTTCCAAGTTAAAAACAAGACAAATAAGTCAACAGTGGAGTGATCAGAAGTTTTATTAAAGCTACACATTTTTAGATAAACATTTCAATCAATGCACATTACTGGCCTAATTAACTGGAATGTATGTTGAAATAAACTGCACTGGTTCATGCTCTGGAATCTAATCTGTGTCACATGGGAGGAGAGTCAACATTTTCATTTAAGTTTATACTTTAACATGAGTCAGATGACAGCAGCAGCATTAGATGGAATGTAGAGACTGAATTGCAAAGAGCCAAATAGTGTTTCTGTCCTGTCAGTGCAATAAATATCAGTAAGTGCATAAAATAGAATTTAAGTGTCACAGTTAGCTCAGAAGTGTTATGGGTCAAAACCTTAGTATAACCACACTACGGCAGACAGACAATCTACTGTCCGCTTTGTAACTATTATGAGCCTGTAGCTATAACTTGGATGCATGCTGAACTGGTTACACTACGCCTTATACAACTGCGTAAGAGAACAGACCCCTCAAGGCTGTAAGGTTCACTTCTGAACACTAGGAACTAAAACTATTACACCGAGTATTACAGGGGATGATTTGTTAGGACCAGTTCAAACAAGGCTAGAGTACCCCGAAAAGCCCCAGTTTATTGGGTTCTCCAGCTACAGCTCCCATTGTCCAGCACGTGACATTCTCCCACCCACATGCCCCAAACGTCTGTGCCATGCTAGTGGGGGTGGAGGTGCGAGTCCTGAACCAGGAATTGTTTTGTGGAAGCAGTCAGGGAAGGAGGGGGGGAATGGAAGGCACAACAGAACGGGGACACTTGTGATGTGCCTCCCTAAAGGGTATGATAAAGGGATGCACAGCCAGCAGCCCAACTTTCCACCACAGAGCAGCTTGCGCATCACTTCCCGCTGTACAAGGAGGAAGCTTCCACTGAGCATCTCCCCCAGTGGAGTGGGGCCCTATGAATCTACAGCCTCCCAGCATGGCCAGCCACCCATCCAGGACAGCACATGTTGCTATGAGGAAAGACGGACTGAGGCCACAGATGAACCAGGTGTATTCCGTGTGAACAGGAGAGCTGAGTCTTTGCCCAAGGCATGGAAAACAGGGTGTGGGGAATAAAGAAAAAAACAGAACCACAGTTTATTTGCATTACTATCTACTGCTGCTTGGTTTTAGTTATGCAGGAATTGCTCTGCCTAAGGAACTGACAAGTTCACCTCTCCCTTTGTGCCTGACAACTGGAGCTAAAACATGTTTCTTACGGATCTCTGTCCTCTCATCCCCAAGAAAGTGCTTGTGTCTCTTTATGCTTAAAGAAGAACGGAAGACATTTTTTGTTTAAATAAATTCCTACATATTCTAGGCCCATATGATTCAGAGAACGGGAAATCTCAGAAAAAAATTTAAAAACTTTCTCTAAAGTACAATCCCATCTGCTGAAGTCACTTAAGGTACCAATACTCCTACCAAAGGTATATGGGAAGGGGGAAAAGGAATACTCCAGAGATGTGCATGTATGGAGTGGGAATGATACTCAGAAAGAAGGACATGGGGGGGGGGGGAATGGAAAAGTGTTACAACATCCCCATCACATTAAATATTTGTGTCTTACTTTTTTAAAAACATCCTTTTTATTTCAAAATGTGTTTGTCTTGCAAGTACCCTTACGCTTTTGCAGTACACCTCAAATTAAAAGTTAACTGATTTCAATAAAACATCAATATTCCCCATGATCTCCAGCACTTTCCTGATTATAACCATTGAGAGAAAATGATGAACTAAATATATATATTCTATAAAGGAAACACCCTGGAACTGAAGCAAGACAACTGCAATATTTAAAGATGGTCACAGCCACCATTTTGTGGGTAAATCACAGTCCATTTGTGATCCAAAATGTTACGCTGTTTTTAAATGTAGAAGTACCACCATTTGTCCCAAAACATGTTTTCTAGGAATGTCTGTTCTTTTAATTATTATGCTGCATTGGTAGGTCTTTGTTGTGCTCAAGTTTTGAATGGGCTGGTATTGGTGCATGGGTTGGTTTGTTTTTCTGTCCATGTTAAAACAGAAGCCAGCTAACTTCATTTCTTTCTTCTCCTACTGTCTTAGACACTGATGTGGGAGTTTGGATTTCCAAGGGTATGCATCAGGACAAACGAAGGAATTCCTGGCTTAGCCAGTGCCAAGCGCTAAAGAATGGCACACTTACCGAAAGAAAAAACAAAAAGAACCACCTTAATGCTACCAAGCAGCCAGTCTTCAGTGATGATGTGCATGTTCAGATTTTCCCAGGAATTCCCTAGAAAAGAAAACAAGAAACCGACAGTGACAAATCCACTCTGCCACTTTCCAAAACCAGGTCACACTCCTCTCAGGTCTGAGGCACAGCCCGTTAAAACCAAGGTGTTTGACTATGCTCCCGGCGAAGGTGTGATTGTAGCACAGGTAGGCATACTTGTGGGAGCTTCAGCCTAGCTAGCATAGGCATCAGCCCAGGCTGGCTACCTGAGCATGGATCCAGGCTCCTGGAGGGCTTGCACGCTGGTTGCTAGCCCATGCCACCACATCCTCGCTGCTACTGGTGCACGTGGTAGCTAGATTAAAGCTGGCATCGTGAGCTTGCGCCGTACTGCAGTCACACGTTCGCTCTGCAGCGCAGACATTCCCAAAGGGTGTCTCTGCACTGACTTCAAAGGGAGCAGGCCTCCCGCGCACAGAGCTCTCCTGTTAAAGCAAACAGGAACCCCCCCGGTCTATCAAGAAGAGAATCTGCCCTCCTTTGTATGATCTGACCTGCTGATAAAATATCATGAACAGTCCTACAGAGTAAAGCTCACTCTTTGGCTCCGGAAGCCTGATTTCCCAATGTGATAGTCACCGCTGACTATGAATGCCCCAACAGTTAAGAGAGAATTGGGCACAGAGCAACAGAGACGACATCTTAAATGCCCTATACAGGTACTTTTGCATTTCCACTGAACAAATGGTTCCCTACCTGTCCATAACTGTTGTTCTTCTAGATGTACTGCACGTCGATTGCGCTGTAGATGTCTGTGCCCTCTACTGCACAGACGTCAGCGGTTCCCCCGAGAGCACCCACTGGGGCAGCAGGAGCGTTCGCTGTTGCCTTGCTTGCCACATGCAGGCATAAAGGGCCTAACCATTCTGACTCCCCTAATTCCTTTCTATGGGCAAGACTGCGACAGAGAAGGGAAGGAGAGTGGGTTGTAGAATGGACATGCGCAACACATCTCAAAGAGCAACAGTTATGGACAGGTTAGTAACCCTTTTTAATTCCTGGGGTAATTGCATATATCCATTCCACTGCAGGTGACCCACAAGCAGTCTCCCTGGAGATGGGCTCGGAGTCTATCTGAACAGGGGCTGGAGGACCACTCATCCAAGCTCAGGATCGTCTCTAGATTGTTGAGAGAAGGTGCAGTGGGGGGTAAACATGTGACCGGATGATCAGGTTGCTGCTTTGCAAATGTCTAATATGGCTTGTGAGCCAGAAATGCCACAGAAGTTGCTTGGGATCCAGCTGAATGACCCAGTGCTCTATCCAGTGGATTCCATTAGCCAGCTGGCAACAGGTGAATAAAACCGGATATCACGTCAAAATTCTTTGTGT